TTTAACCCAGGCCTTCTTACTCAAAATCCAGCATCCTTTAATTGCTGCCCATTGTCTGATGAATAAAATTCAAAGTCCTTAGCCTGGCACTCACAGCATCATTGGTGTTTTAGGCAAATTGTTTTCAAGCAAATGGATTTTAGTACAATTGATTTCAGGGAAATTGACTTAGAGCTATCTTGGCTCCCATCAATAAAATGTCAAACTCTTGAAAATCCAATATATTCATAAAATATAAAAATAATTTCATTTACTGAAAATACCTAGTTAGTTATATCTCATAAGGATGTTATGGGGATTAAATGAGATGATAGATATAAAGCACTTTGTAAACCTTGAAACATTATATAAATGTCAGATGTTATTATTGTTTTGCTAATAACAATCAAGGCAGATCCTCTTGGGGTTTTGAAAATTAGCTTTGATAGTAGAAATAGGGGAGTAGCAGGGCATGATAAAGCAATGTTTTAGGATTCTTCAATTCGGCCTTAATTCAATTCAATTCTTAATACTGCCAGATTAATCCTCCTAATAAACAAGTTTGATTTCAACATCCTAGATTTAGAGTTAGTAGGGATTCTCAAAACCATCCAAGCCACTTCATTTTATATGTGACAAATATTCACACATGGTGTAAATATATATTCACTTGGAGTTGTAGCAAAGGGGTATGAATGAACTCAGATTGCAATGTCTGCCTCAGCCAACAGGTGGCGGTCTACTGAGTTGCTCTTCCCCATATGCCCTAGGATGCCTGGCCATTTTTTTTAAGTGGGCTGAAATATCTCCATTGACTTCTAGAACATATTCAAGTTTGCAAACACCTGGGCTGTTCTTCACACAGTGATAGTTTTAGATTTTGCCCTTTGAAACATGTTTTAACTCCTTGCTGCCCAGAGTCCTGATACAGAGAATAAAATATAGATAAAATATGAAAATACGAAATTGATATTTTTGCTCCAGCCCTCCCTCCATCACGTCTTTGTAGTATTTCATTCCCCCAGATCTCTTCTATCAGCTCTAATATCTAGATTCTCACTGAATGATCACTTCAATGTTTTATCAACATGGAATTTAAACGAAAAAGGAAACAGAGGAAATCTTCTGCCCAATTAGAAATGCTATTGTTCCATCATGTATGACTATTCATGACATTTTCTTGGCAAAGATACTGAAGCGGTTTGCCATTTCTTCAGGCAAATAAGGTTAAATGACTTGCCAGGGTCATTCAGCTAGTGTCTGAGGTTGAATTTGAACTCAGCTCTTCCTGACTCCAGGCCTGGTACTGTATCCAATATACCACCAACTGCCTCCCTCACCCCCATTGGAGATAGTTATCACTAATTCTTCTTGTTGTGCCCACTTATTGGTTATGCTGTACCCACACGTAAACTTGGTAGGAGGAATGTTTTGTAGCATCCACTTTCATTTGAGCCCACACTCAAAGAGAGAGAGAAAAAGAGAGAGAAAGAAAGAGAGATTGAGTTCCTCAATTGTAGCCTTTTAAATGCACACTAAATTCTGGTTCATTAATAATTAAAAGGCACATAAGGGAGACAGAACAGTAGCCTTGCTGTGGGGGGACAGGCCTAGTAGTATGAGGGTAGATTGGGAAAGTAAATCCAGAGCCTAATGTTCTGAATATATAATAAATCCAAAAATGTTACTTTCAAAGCTGACCACCTCATCTGTGTTTTTCTCTGAATTTCTTTGTGTTCCCTTCTGTGCATTTTTTAAGATGCTTCAGTAATTCTCTTATTTCTTTTCTCATTTTAGGGGTCATGACTATTGCTAGGTCCTTCCTCACTACCAAATACCTTCCCCAATAAAAAGAAAAAAACATAATATAATAACATTTCTATAGCACTTTAGGATTTACAAAGCCCTTTCAAATATTATCTAATTTGATCCTCACAACCACCTTGGGAGGTAGGTGCTATTATTATCCCCATTTTACAAATGAGGAAACTGAGGTAGAGATCAAGAGTTTCGCTTAGGGTTACATAGCTCGTAAGTGTCTGAGGCTGGATTCAAACTCAGGTTTTTCTAATTTGGCTAACAACAACAACAATAACAGAATTAGTAGTAATAGCTAACATTTACATAGGGCTTTAAGTTTTGGGGGAAAAAAGGTTTTTTTTAAACAGACATCTCATTTGATCCTCACAGCAGTGCTATGATAAAGATGCTATTATTGTCCCCAAGTTACAGAGGTGGAAACTGAGACTGAAGGAGGTTGAATAATTTGCTCAGTCACACAACTGAGTGTCTGAGACTCAGGTCTTTCTGACTCCATGTCCAGCACTCTATCTGCCATATCACCTAGTGATCCAGAAGAACATATGAAAATCTTGAAAAATGAAGCAAAAGATTAAAAAAAGATTAAATTAAAACCCTAGAAGAAAAATTGGAAGAATATGTGGCTTAGAAGAGAAAGCAGTAATCTTGACTCAAGAAACTGAATCCCTGAAAACTAGAATAGACCAAACAGAAATCAGTGACTCCATGAGACAGTAAGGAATATCAGCACAAAGTTAAAAGATTGAAAAATAGAAGATGCAAGCTATTGGCTAGCAGAAACAACCGACCTAGAAAACAGATCAAGGAGAAACAATTTATAAATCATTGGGTTTCCTAAAAACCACATTAAAAAAAAACAACAAGATACCCTAAGAAAACATAAATGAAAACTGCCCAAATCTATTAGAACCAGAGCACAAAAGTAGAAATAATCCACTAATCATCTCCTAAGAGAAGTCACAAAAATAAAAGTCAGGAATGTCACAGGCAAAACCCAAAGCTCCAACATCAAAGAAAAAAAAGTGCTGTGAGTAAATGGAAAGAAAGCATTCTATTATCAAGGAACTACACGGTCAGGATCACACAAAGCAAGACAGCTTCTACTATAAACAAGAGAAGGTCTTGGAATAAAATATTACAAAATGCAAGAGGAGTTAGATTTACAATCAAGAATAACATAATCTATAAAGCTGAGTATATAACCCTTAAGAGTGAAAAAGGTTCCGAAGAGATCTTAATATCTTCAAAGCAAAAATTTAAAAATAAGGAAAAAGAAAAACAGAGGCCTTAGGAGTGAATGGGTTCTGTAATGAAGGCTTAAAGAGGGTAAAAAGAGAAAGAAGGGTAAAAATAATACATTATTGTAGAAAGGAGAAAGACAGAGGTAGGATGATTTAGTAATATATAAAAATAAACCTCTAAACTTCTAAGTTAAATACATTCGTGAATTTGGCAACTATACTTCTCAACTATAAACAGTCTTCAGTGTCTAGCTCTGACATAAGATACCTGTATACATGTTCTCTCTTTAAGAATTTCCAGATTCTCTATCATGTGCCTCTTACAGAATAATTTAATCCTTTTGCTTTTATTGCTCTTCCTTAATCCACCAATTCTCTCCTACCATCTTGTGACCCTTTCATAAACTATAGAAAACATGTAAAGAAGATACAAGTGTTTTCCATCCTTTTGCTTTAGGTCCTAACCTGCATTAGGAATAGTCTTCTTTTACAGGCTATGTTTCCAATTGTGTTTCATTAGTCCATTAGTCCATTAAGTTATATTCCCCAAAAGTGCCAGATTTTCTTTTTTATTGTCTTTGATGCCAATCTGATTAACAAAATGCTAGACTTGGATTGTTTCCATTTCTAACCCTTCAAGATTCTGAGGTAAATTACTTTTTAGTAGGGATAGGAGATAAGAAAAGCTACTAAATCAGCCTAGATTTTCCAAGGTAAAATATTAATCATTCAGGTACCAATTATCCAAATTAAAAATATCCATAAGGTCAAGCCAGAAATCAAACAAGTATTACCTCAGATTAATTTAGCTGTCTTTAACGTTGGTTTCCCCCACCTCTAGTATAATGTAGCCTCCTTGATGGCAAACTATCTCTTATCTTTTTTCTTTGTAATCTCTGTGTTTTACATGGTGCTTTTGGGCATAGTAGCTTAACAAATGTTTGTTTAATTTACTGAGAATCTACTATGTGCTTAGAACTGTACTGCATGCTCTGGAAAATATAAAAGGAAACATAATTCTTACTTTTAAGGAAGGTACAGATCATTTGACATGAAGACCACTTAGAGACCAAGATATAAATTGAATTGTGCTACTTTTTTAAGTTTAGTTTAGAACAGAACTTCAAAAGAGATAAATTATGGGAGCCTGGAATAGTTGGGTTGGGATTCATGAAGGAGGCAGAATTTGATGGATAAGATTTGGATAAAAGAAAAGAAGAAGGGAACAGTACTTTGGATAGAGAAAAATGAGTGACTACCTGAACACAGGTAGGGATTAACCTGTTGTATGTAAAGCACCTTAAACTGAGGATTCAGTCAGTAGTGGGAAATCAAGGTGAATAGCACCAGCTGAGTTAAATTATAGAAACAATTGTTTTTCAATTTTTTAAACATTTTTATTTAAAGTTTTGAGTTCCAAATTCTATCCCTCTTCCCTCTCTCTTTAGAAACAATTTAAAGTCACATAAAAGAATGAGCTTGACACAATTAGCAAGGGGGAGTTACTGTGGATTTTTGACAAAGGAATGACATGATTATAGTAACCGCTTGGGAAGATGAGTCTTGTAGCACTCTCTATAACAAGAGGCATTGGAGTGGGAGAAAATGGAAGGCAGGAAGAAAAAGACTTCCTCATCAGATGGCAAATCTTAACTGAAAATGGACAGCTAAACTTCTAATTCCAGTTCTGCCTGGCAATTCAGACCTTTTAGATTTTCTATCAAAATGTATAGAGATTTTGCCAAAGTTAACAGTTACACAGGATGCATGTATCCCTCTTCTTTTCCTTCACCATCACTCAAGAGTCCATTCAAATCTCACTTCTTCCCCCAAGCCTCCCAACACTTCCAGCCTTCAGTGATTTTTTTCCTTCTCTGTTTTTATTACACTTCAGATCCAACTACATGACTTAGCATTTCTTTACATACTGTCTTGTTCTTTTTCCCCTAGCAGTTTTAGGTGTAAGCCTCTAAGCTCCCTGCGATGGACACCCTCATATTGCCTTCTCAGAACTATGAACTTAGTAGACACTTGACTGTCTGAACTCACCTGAAATAGAGATGGTAAGCTTATTGTCATCGATGCTGACACACACCAAGATAAATGTTACCATTTCCTGTAGAATCATGCACAACTTAGCTATTTCAAATGCCACCATTCACCACCTCTCAGTCATTTCCATTGTATTATTTTCACCATACTATAAGCCAGGAACTTTGCTAATTTATAATGTCAAGTTAAATAGCATAAAACCTTTAAGAGGTTAAACCTTTAAGGTCCTGAGGGTTAGCTGGGATGAGCTGAAAAGTATGCTTGAGGAAACATATCAATGGAATTACTATATGCTTTGGAAATTTTTGACTGATTGATGAAAATTGATCTCCCATGGGAAATCTGGTTACATTGAAGTCTCAATTTTCAAAGAAGAGTCATTTTTAGAAGTATAATTATGATGTGGAAGTGCAGCAGCTAGCATTTCTGAGCCCTAAATTCTAATCCAAGTTATATTGTTAATTAGCTTTTTAAAAACTTTATTCAAGTCATTTCACCTCTACGACCTTGTCTCTTCATCTGTAAAATGAAACTGTTGGACTCTATTGCATTTAAGGTTCCTGCCAGATCCAGAATTCTAAATTGCAGATGACACCAAGACTTTGTTCCCTTTCGTAAGTATTTAGTTGCTCAGATGCTCACAAAGTAATACATTAATACAAACTACAGAACATTTTATTCGTAACATCTGCCCTTCCAAACTATCTCTAAAAGCCTCATATAATTTTTTACTCTCCAGAGACAAAAGTACGGTGAAAAGGGACTGGACAGATCTTGTACCACTAGAATCATCAGATAATTTAAAGTAAATTTTCCAAATTAAATGTGACAATTTAGTCAAAACTAACAGCCCTGTTAATAGATACATTTCAGCTGGTAACCATTTTATTGTTCCTTTATACCAGAAAGTTCAGTGATGGCTCAAGAAAACCACATATAATTCTTTTCAAAATTACTTTATAGATGTGTAAGTAACGTACAATATAGGCATTATGAGAGTGTGTTTTGACTACCAAAAACAGTGGTGAAAATTGTGTATGAACAGAATTACGCATCTTCAGCCAGCAATAGCATAAGTAAAGCAGAGGCAATCGAAAGTGTATCACTTATTTTTAAAGCATCCCTTTCTAATTACCTTTCCTGAGAGGATTAAATGCTGACATGTTTCCTCAAAGGGTAGAGAACCAAAGTTGATAAACTATGATGGCAGCAAAATGTTTGATGTGGTTTGATATAAGCCATAATTCACTTTACCAATCCAGTCTCAAAATACCGACTGGTTATAGAGAAAATTTTCATGCTAATTCATGGACATAACTAATCAAGATTTACCTTAAAAAAAAAAGCTGATTTCAAAGCCCATGAACTATGCAAAATTATGTATAGCTAATCACTTATAGGTCTATTATCTCAACAAATATGAAGATATGACCCCTTAAGATTTTGAAAAATAAGCCTTCTGAATGACACCATTCATTGTTGCTATTAAAATTATGTGGAATTATTTTTATAAGCTCATGGACATACCATTTCCATATTTCTAGAGCTATAGGGCCCTACATTAAGTCCTGATCATGTTTCCAATTACACATTAGCACCTTGATGTTGTTGTTATTAATAACAACAGAACCTTGATAAAAATCCTTTCCCTATGATACTTTTCTATGAAATATTACTCATTTTATAAATGTGTGATTTGCATTAAATTGCTCAAAAACAACACTAGCTAAAAATTCAAAGTCAGCAGCATGTTAACTCATTGTCCACATGTAACAGAAGATCTAGTCTCTGTCAAATAATTCTATAGCTCTATGGAGAAGGAAAGAATTTAGGACCAAATGATATAGAGAGCATTATAAAATATGAAATGGATAATTTTGATTATATAAAAAATGTTAAAGTTTTTACACAAACAAAACCAATGCAAACAAAATTAGAAGGAATGCAGAAAACTGGGGGAAAATTTTTACAGCAAGAATTTTTGATAAAATCCTCATTTTTTAAATATATAAAGAACGGAGTCAAATTTATAAGGATACAAGTCATTCCTCAATAGATCGATGGTCAAAGGATACAAACAGGCAGTTTTCAGACAAAGAAATCAAAGCTATCTATAATCATATGAAAAAATGTTCTAAATCACTATTGATTAAAGAAATGCACATTAAAGCAGCTCTGAGGTACCACTTCACACCTGGTAGATTGGCTAATATGACAAAAAAGGAAAATGATAAATGTTGAAGGGCATGTAGGAAAACTGTGACACTAATGCATGGCTGATGAAGTTGTGAACTGATTCAACTATTCTGGAGAGCAATTTGGAACTATGCCCAATGGGCTATAAAACTCCATGTATTATTTGATTCAGCAATACCACTGCTAGGTCTGTATCTCAAAGAGATAAAAAAGGAGGGGGTGAGGAGAACCTATTTGTACAAAATATTTATAGCAGTTTTTTTGTGGCGGCTAAGAATCAGAAATCAAAGAGATGCCTATCAGTTGAGGAATGGCTGAATAAGTTGTGGTATGTTATTATAATAGAATATTATTGTGCTGTAAGAAATTATAAGCAGGATGATTTCAGAAAACTCTGGAAAGACTTACATGAACTGATACAAAGTGAAGTGAGCAAAATCAGAACACTGTACATAGTAACAGCAACATTGTACAATGAAGAATTACTCAGCCTAAGACAATCCCCAAGGACTCATGATGAAAAATGCTATCCACTTCCAGAGAAAAAACTGATCACATCTAAATACAACTAAAACATACTATTTTTCACTTTTTTCTTTCTTTCTTTTTCTTTTTGGTTCAAGTCTTCTTGCCAGAAATGACTAATACAGAAATGTTTTACACGATTACACACATATAAACTATATCAGACTGCTTACCATCTCAGGGAGGGATGGAAGGGAAGGGAGAAGGGATAGAATTTGTAACTCAAAACTTTAAAAATAATGTTAAAAATTATTTTTCATGTAATTTGGGGAAAGGAATTTTTTTTTAAAAAATGGAAATGTAAAATTTGTCAAAAACAAATTTATTTAGGATATATGAACCATATATACATTAAAAAGTTTACAAAGGCTTCCAATAAAAAATAAAAATACTAATATTAAGTACAGTGCCTTTAAATACAGTCAGTGTTGGTGTTTACTGGATTTAAGTTGAAGATATGCCAACTTATCTGGCTTACCATTTTCAGGACCCCTGTGCCAAGACCACTCCTCTCTTTTTTGCTTCTTTCCTTTTACCGTTTTCCAGAGCTAAGACCCAGGAAGCAAGCTGCGCCTGGCATAACAACAATCCTTTGAGGCTCACCCTCTGGATGATCTCAGCCACAGCAAAGTCTCAGAATTGTTTCACACCAGCACCAGGTGGTCCCTGTGCTCGGACAAGCATCTATAGTACCCATGTTTTGGTCATGACAATCCAACTTGTCTCACTGTTCTTTTTTTTTTCTTTTCTTTTTTTGTTTCAGCTAGGCAATGGGGTTAAGTGACTTGTCCAGGGTCACACAGCTAGTGTCAAGTGTCTGAGGCCAGATTTGAACTCAGGTCCTCCTGACTCCAAGGCCAGAGCACTATTCTCTGCGCCACCTAGCTGCCCCCAACTTGTCTCATTGTTGCTATTACCCCTCATTGTCAGGGGTACAGATCATTACATAGCCATTGGTATAAGTAATGAGATCTCCTCACACTAATACGGGTCTCCTACTGGGGGCTGGGACACAGCACATAAAGAAATCTTTTTGCTTATAACCACTGTTATCTCTTTCCTTTTATTTCGTTTTGTTTTTACATTTAACTGTGGTTTTGATAATCTGTGTAAGCTCTCTGGTTTGTTTGGGTTTTTTTAAGAGTTAATAGCTGCTATGGCCCTGTGGTCATTTGTTGTTAGGGTTGACATCATTTAATTCCCAAAAAAGTGATTTGTGCCCCCTAAAAGGTTGTAAAATGAATACATTCCCAAGAGAAAGTATAAGATCACAGATTTAGGGCTCGGAGGGAGCATAGAGAGCATGGAATCTAACCCCTTCATTTTGCAGATGAGGAAACTGAAGTACAGAAATGGTAACTGACTTAATAAGGGTCACACAGTAAGTACTGTAGGCAAGATTTGAATTCAGGTCTTCCTGATTCCAAGTCCAGCACTAGTATCAGCACTCCACCATTATGCTTCAAAGTATTCTTTAAACACTTAGGACAAATAGCATCCCTAATGATGAAGACATCAAAAAGAGATTTAAGGGACAGCTAGGTGGCACAGTGGATGGAGCACTGGCCCTGGATTCAGGAGGACCCGAGTTCAAATCTGAACTCAGACACATAACACTCACTAGCTGTGTGACCCTGGGCAAGTCACTTAACCCCACTGCCTAGCCAAAAACAAAAAAAAAGAGATTCAGAGGTTCCCAAACATATTTGGCCGACAGCCCCATTTTTAAAAAATTACTCAGCACCCCCTGGGATTAGGTTAAGTTAACCCTTGTTTTTATTTAATGAAACCCCCCCCCTTGCAACCTAGCTGCTACTGCCACTCCCCTCCCCCCCATCATTCCAAGGCCCCCTAGGAGACGGTATTGCACATTTTGGGAAACTATAGATTAGACTTTCAATGAGACAAAAACAGAAATGTTATAGCTCCCGGATCCTAATGCTAAGATCAGTCAGCAAGTGGTTTAAGCAAACTGATCCTAGAGGCCTGTCCTGGTTTAGTATTTTAAATTAAATTTTATCTGGTGATTTTCTAAATGAGTTCATCATTCATGAAAGCAAACCCAGGGCCCTTAAGTGCCCAAGACTGGACAAAATTCCCAACAGCCCACAGAACCACAAAACAACAAAAATTAACCAGTGCTCATTGCTAACGGGCCAGGTAGTTACCTGGGATTTGGGGAAATAACGGATTCTAATTATAAACAACTTCATGTCTATCTCTGGCTATCTCTGTCACCAGAAGTGTTGAATTCACTAATGCTAACGAGTTCAAGCCCCTTTCTTCAATCACCAATCAACTCTGAGGGAAGTCAATGTTGAATGCACTAGATCCAGTTCCTGATTGGAAATAAATGGGGCTTCAAGAAAATATGATCTGATTTATTTTAAAATTCCAGCTACATGCTAGGCAACAGAAAATTTCTGTCCCTAAATTTTACTGTTATTGAGCAAAATAAGTTTGTTGGGAGGCAGTTTAAATAATTTACTGTAAATTGACCTTCTGACATCATAAAACCTGGAGACTTGTCATATGACCAGAAGGTGGTGCTATTACCATAGGAGTATTACAATATTATAGTACTAGTCATAGTTTATTGAAAAAATCTGCTCTCCATTCACCTTAATAGCAGAATAATACTTTGTAAATAAGATACAATAATCAAAATTCTAAAGGCTATTTCAATCTGGCAACACTGGAAGAAATAATTTTGTCCTATTTAATATTTAGACAAATGTAACTTTTTATGTTATGCTAAAATCAGATGATATATTTGAGATGATGCACATATGAAAAAGCAGGTATGAGAAATAAAAATAATTTATACACACCTTGTATCATACCTATATGTTTATGGGCATCTGGAAAATTAGCCAATTATTTCAAAGACAAAGGAGACATCTTTAACACATCTGCTGTTTGATGAGTTTGATACAAATAATCACCTACTTCAATTACTTGAATAAAAAGGCGAAAAAATGTATATACTTGATATCGATGTATTGCATAAAGTAAAATACTAAGGATCAAAGTATCTGGACTCCATATACAAGAGAATGGAAAATTAAGGAGAATTTTTTTATTTTAAACATTCCAACTGAGGATTGATATTTCCTTTCATATGCCTTACTTTGCAAATGTATGGCTTCAAAGTCCTTTTTAATGGGTTAAAAATAAAATAAAGTTGTACTAGTTAACATGTGACAAACCTAATAGGGATTAGATTTATTAGGTTGCTAAGGAAATGTCATACAATAATAAAGTCATAAAATGTTCACATTGGAAGCAATCTGGGATGTCCTCTAAGACTAGTCACATTTTACAAGTTGGAGACCTAGGACCTAGAGAATTACTTTTCCAACAGCAGATTAGAAGAGCAACGGTGAAATCAAGATGTCCTCCTTCCCTTCTTTTAAGTAATTTATCAAGCATTATTTCATAAAATGCAGTTTTTTTTAAACCAACCAAAAAATAGCTACTCATAAGAGGAATTATAACTTCTTGGACCCTTAGAGTAAGTGGAGTAAAATAAATACTAATACACAAAAGGAAATAAATTCTAGGAGAAAATATCTCTCACTATTAGCACTGGAATCTTCTTGGGATTACCATCCATATAAATGTTAAGGTGAAAAGACCCAGATCCAACTCCTACCTCAGAAAGTTAATAGATTTGTGACCTTGGTCAAGTTAATTAGCCTCTCTGGTCCTCAGTTTCCTCATCTGTAAAATGAGGAGACTGAATTGTTGCCCAGTCGTTTTAGTTGTGTCCAACTCTTCGTGACTATATTTTAAGTTTTCTTGGCGAAAATACCGGAGTGGCCTGCCATTTCCTTCTCTAGCTCATTTTAAAGATGAGGAACTGAGGCAAACGGAGTTAAGTGACTTGCCCAGGGTCACACAGCTAGTAAGAACCTGAGACCAGATTTGAACTCATAAAGATGTCTTCTTCTTGATTCCAAGCTCAGTGTCCTTTCCACTGCACCACCTAGCTGCCAGAGATTGGACTAGATGGTCTCTAAGACACACACACACACACACACACACACACACACACACACACACACACACACACACACACACAGCTCTAAACTTATGATCTTCTAATCTACTGGTCAGAACATCCCTAGGACACTGATGCACCAAGGCTCTGCAAGTAACACTCAAAGCACCAGAAGGAAGTGATGGTGATAAAGGTGATTGGGATCTTCGCTAATATTTACAAAGTGCTAACCAGTAGTAGACTAGAAGCTGTACTAAAAGTACCAAAGAAAACCAAAATGGACTATTCTGAATGTCTCGGCACTTCTTTCTTGAGAGAAGCATTAAACATATATATATATATGTATATATATATATATATATATATATATATATATATATATATATATACATATATATACGTATATATATATGTATATATATATATGTTATGTGTAGGAAACTCTACATCTTTTGGTAAACTGGTTGAGGTCTCCCAGGAAAAAAACTGAGATTTTAAAAAAACTTTGAAAGGTTAAAGAAAGGAATAGAGGTTCCTTTGGAAAGGCTTGGGAGAAGTGAAGAAAAGGTGAACACACAGATACAAAGGACACCAAATACACATGTCTGGGACAAAAGAAAAATACAAGAGAGAAGGAAAACGCATGGCACACATTTAATCTAGAACATTCTTGAATCCAAATGTGAGAATCAGGACGGATACATACATTCCTTTGTTTTATGATTTTTAAACTATTTCCACATATATCTTGGTTCTACTCCATACTGCAACTGAAAGTCAATGAGAGTCTCCAAAGAGACATTTAGGGATGATCAAAGCAATAGCCAGAGGGTGCATCCCCTCTGGGGTTGGCAGCAACTAAGTGATGCCTGAAATGAAGTCTTTCAAGCCTACTAGAGGCACAAAGGGGAGGATGTTGGGAAGACTAGTAAAGAACTAACTATTATCTGGAATAAGGCTATGGGGAAAAGATACAACATTACAGACTTAAATCTATTAATTCATCATCTATATTATGCATCTACTCCATGCTAAGGGGTGAGGGCTGCAGTTTAGATAAGCCTTGGAGGCCACAGTCTAAGGGGCAAAATAATACAATTAGTACACTATATTACCTGCCTTAAAAAAATACCATATGATATTGGTAGAAGAGTAGGACAGCCATATCTGTGTCATGTCCAAAAACAAAGGCATAAAGGGGTATAAGGTAGTAAAATTAGAAATGTATACAAAGCAAATAGCAAAGTGAAGAGCGCTTTCACGAATCAGTCATCATTACAACATGCATCAAATTGACATTTAAAATCTATCCAGACCCACAGCTCATCATTAGTGAGCTTTAAGGCAAGCAGCAAACATTACAGGGATCAGCCCCCATTCTACAAATGAGGAACGGAGGATCAGAGATGTTAAACGACTTGCCCAAAGTCATACACTGCATAAATGTCAGGAGAAGGCTTTAATTTTAAAATTATTTTTTATTCTGAACTTAAATGCCAAAAAAGAGTATTTCCATAGTCTTAGAACATAAAAATAGGATTATATATGAGACTATTAATTTCCATTTTATACCTTTTTAAAGTGTAATACATTCCACACTTTACTTTGAAAACTGTCCTCTTGTATTTCCTTGCCTTTCATTTTAAACATCCAAGGTACCTTTTTTTTTTTGGCACCACTATCACTAACCTCACTTTTATCCCCAGTTAAAAACCTAAAGAAAAAAAGCCACTTTCGTGACAAATAAGCATAGTCAAGCAAAACAAGTTCATACCGTGGCCATGTCAAAAAAATATGTCTCTACCATCTGTCTGGAGGTGGGTGACTTGCTTCAGCATAGGTCCTTTGGAACTGTGGGTGGTCATTGTTTAATCAGCACCCTTGAGTTTTTAAAAGTTTTTTTTTAATTTATAATGTTGCTGTCCATGTATAAATTGTTCTTCTGGTTCTGCTTACTTTACTCTGCATCAGTTCATACTACGTAGGATTCTCTTAGACCATCTCTTTTGCCACAATAATATTCCATATCTGCACAATAATAGTCCCTTACATTCATCTACAATTTGTGCTGCCATTTCCCCAAATGATGGGAACACCCTTTTAAATTCTAGTTCTTGGCCTCTCTTTATGCCTTTCCCTTTAACCTCTTCTTCAGGATCAGGAAGTGTTTTGCTAATTCCCTCACCTGTGTTGGCCTTCCTCTCAAGCCCCTTCCCTTCCATTTTCCTATTGAGTTTGATGTATTTCTTCACCCATTTTCATGCTGAGTGTATGAAACCCTCTTTTGTAGAGGAAGGCTTTGAATCCAGATATTGCTGACTCCAAGTGTAGAATGTTAACCATTATGCCACACTGACTGCTGAATATAAAGTTCCTTCACTATATGTGTTTATTGTACTGTAAAATGGGTGCCATGAACCTTTTTTCATGCTAGATTTTGTTTTGCTTAAGTATCAGTGATGCTAGCTTGTACCAGTTCAACTATTACCTTTTATCTAGTCTTCCTCTTGATCAATGGAGTGTTTGTAAGTTAATGGGCCAGAAGTCACAAGAATGTAGTCTGTGGTCCCGGAATGGGTTTTTTCTTTCTGCTAAATGACTCACGGGAATTAAATGCTTAATTTGAACTTTAACTATACTGGGTAATTCCTTAAACAGTTATGCTAACCAGACCATATTATTCAAAATACACTGCTATGAAAAATGACAGAAACTAATTCTACATGTTAACAAGATAACCAGCAGGCTTATTTTTTTAAATCATTATCTTTCTTTGTATTATGCTATGGTCCAATAATCTTACCTTAAAGCTGAAGTTTATCTTCATTTATTAGGCAAAATACTTTATCAAAGGTCTCAATACTCCTAAAATTTGAAATTTAAGCCAATGAACTGAACACGACTTCTATTTCTTTGTAAGTTCCATTCTGGCTGTTATGCTATAGAAGAGCTAAGGAAACCAAAATGAACGAAGAAGAGAAATTCAATCTGACCTATTTATTAGTCATTAAAAATGTTCAAACAATCTGGAAAAAAAAAACCTTAACTTAGGCATGTGAAAGAAGGTACTAAGGAAGAAGGAAGAACAGGTAAATATATTTTCCCAATTCTCAAAGAAGCATGAAACATAATGAAAAAATGCAGCAACTATTAAGTTATCCAAACTAATTTATTGACAATTCAAAATGTGACATATTTACAAGAAACAGCACAAGTTCTAAAATAATTTAACAATTTTCATAGATTTATAAAAGTACTGATAAATATTAGGAGACCCTGACAATTATCAACCACAAGAACATTTTCCTATGCTAATGAACTACCATAGTAGTTCTATTAAAAGTCCCAAAATGGAGCTAAACTTTTGCCTCCACCAAATATGTCAATATGCCAATACCGAAATATACTAAAATGAACATGCAAAGTAAAAGTTGTACCAAAGAAAGTTAAGTTCAGGTCTAGAATTAAAACTGTTCTTCACAGGTAGGCTTCCAGAAATTTTCAAAAATAATTACTATTTTGATACATCAGTTAAACAATTTTAAATTGCTTTAAGAGAGCTCAATTCTGTAATTAGCTTTCATAGGTATTTGCCAAGAGAGATGTAGCATGGTACAGAAAGCTGGCCTGAGAGCTAGGAAGACCTAAGTTCACATCTCACCTCTCACACAGTCTGACTGGTGACCAGAATCAGTCACTTAACATCTCAGGGCCCCAGGCAGTTAATTCTAGGGCTATAAATTGGAGAACAATTGTTGATTTGCATTGGTAGAGGAACTGGGAATTCTCTGTACCAATGAAATCACAGGTCTGGACCAAAAAAGTAAAGTTTTAAAAAATCTGACAAAGAAAGTGAAAATAGTTTACAAGTACAACTTTTATAAATGTTAGCTTATGAATAAAAAAACCCCTCAACAATGGCATCCTTTATCCATTCTGGTTTTTAAATTGTTACACTTAATTCTGGCATTCTGAAGACTGCGTGACCCTTAGATCCCGCTATTTTAGTAGAAAATTTCAGTATCTCACAGACAAGAAGTCAATTTGGAAAATGAAAAGAGACCCACATGACATGTTATCTATTAATTTGCAGAAAACAAGCTACCGCAAAATGGCAAATTTTAATCACAAAAATAGCAGCACATAAAATTCAAGATTGTTTGGTTAAAGCAAATGTTTTCAAAACTGAATCACAAAATGGTACATGCTCAATTTAGATTTACTATTAAATATCTGAAATTTAAAGATTCCTTAGAAGTACTGTTTATATTTATGACATTGTATAATATAATGTATATCCAGAATTCAGTTTTAGAAATGTACATATTGCACAGCTAGGAGATGTAATATCAGTATTCTGATATTCCTAGCATAAGACATTATCTTAAATAGTTTAATACAAATTATACTACTCAAAAACAATCTCATCCCAAGGTTTTAAACCAGTAAGGTAGGGTCATGAACACATTGATCTCAAAATGTTTCAAAACAAAATGAGAAAACACAGGCACTTTAATATAGATTATCAGTGACAAAAGTTACAGGCCACAATTGAATGACTAAGAAAGGTTCATCAATTATGTCTTTACATATAAACTTGAGGTCTTTCACTGATCCAAATATAGAAACAAGAATTATTCACAAAATGTTGATAAGAAAAATCAAATCTCTCAAAAAACTCATACCAAATAATGTAATTTTCAACACTGAACAAAGCAAGGCCTGATGTAATACAATACAAAATGGATTTAGTTCGGATGTCTAGGATATAGTAGTTTGAGTTGCCATTTTTTCCCTTAACCAATCCAACCAAAACCCTTATAAAGATGGTCCAATAATATCCAATGTGCAAAAGTTACCACTCACCTTAAGAACCAGTGCATTTTAATGAAAAAAAAAAAAGGAAAAGGAAAAAAAAAGTCTAATTTTTAAAATTATCAACATTCTAAAGAAAATTTTGCAGCACCACAGACTTAAGATGCAAATGATATCTTAGTCTGGTAACTTTTCAACAGATAATGCTGATCAATCAAAAGGTATGGATACTGAAATACTTAACAGTTCACATCAACTTTTTTTTTTTAGAAGACCAATATAATAAGGTCAATATGACCCCTCCACCCTCTCAAAAAATGAATGTTTTTAATTTGGTATGTATGAAATTGTCAAATTTTCTATGAGTGATTTATGCAGATGTTTAATCACTCAGCAGAGAACACAAAACATTTTTATTTCTTAGTAGGTGCTTACATCAGTATTTATTGAACTGAATTTAGATCCTTGGTACTGAAACACATTCTTAGTAGTTTAAGAGATTGGTTCTAGTTTGGCCATTCTCTAGATTACCTGGGATTACCAGTTTATAAGAAAAACAGGTTAGAGGCAGTATATTTCACGTAAATCTTCCCCAAATCTACTTCACCCTCTCCCTTTCCTTTTCGTCTCATCTTTGGCTAGAAGCCCCTATAAAAGGAAATCAAGCATTTAACAAGTGGATCCCCATCTCCAAATGTTTCTATTCTTACACGTCACTAACGGGAAGGCTTGCATCATCTAGATCCACTAGGTCGTTCTCTCTTTCCTGAGGGCCATTGTGATGCTGAGGTTTCGGCACGGCTTGTACAGTCACTTTGGAAGCTGGTTCTCTTGGAGTGAGAGTCTGGACCTTGAAGTTCCCTGGCTTGGCCTTGGCAAGAGATTCGTAAAATCCTCGCTTCTCCATGGTAAAGCTTGAGCCCAGAGAGTTGTTGCGAGAGGCTGTGGAATGTGAGGTGGCTGCTGTTGCATTGGCAGAACGGAAAGCATAGTTGGATTCTGAAGAACAGTTGGAATGTTCCTGTAAAGAATAGTATTGGTCAAATACGTTCGTTAGTAACAAGGGCAGCATCTCCGTGTGAGACTGAAGAACAAAACACACACAGACACGCGCACACACACACACACACATACACACACACACACATAAAGCGAAGCATGAGCCATGACAGCACAAATAAACAGGTGCTTTTCCAAAGCAATGCATTTTTAGGGGTGAGTATATAGCAGTGAGAGCCAACAACCATTTCAGCTAAGAAACCAGTTACATATATATGTATATATCTCACTAAAGCTGGTCTTGGCAGCTCCAGAAACTTTAAGAACTTTGCCAACTTAAGCTGTTCTAATTAGTTAAGTGTTCCATTGATAACTGAAAAATGTATTTTAACGGGAGCCTAACAGAATGACCTCCTCTAAATAAAAACTTTATATCCTAATTTGATGATGGGAAATAGCTTCTACACAATGTTACAGAGGAAAAATATTCTTTGTAGTTCAACATAAAAACACAGACTAGAGAAATACAGTTCCACTGCTTCTTCAAGCAGGAATCATCAGTTCTTGTTTTTTTGTTTTGTTTTAAAAAGGTGATTATTACTTGGCAACCCGATTCACTGTGAGTTTTTACTCCACTTACTATTAGAATTATTAATTATGTATCTAGACATATTTTAAAGTGATAGAGAAGCAGATAAGTAAAATGTTTATTAAAACAAATTTCATACATTTCTTACTAAATTTCATCAGTGGATATGCTTAAAAATGCCATTCAGTTAGCTAAAACTGTATAGCTTAAACATACTATGTTCATTTACAACACTCATGGCTTTGAAAACAAAAGGATGATAAAAATTACGGCTCCATTTAAGCTTTTAAAATGTCATGCCAATTATTATAACATTCCATTATCAAAGGTATGTGCATGCACAAATTTGCACATATCTGGTCATTAGGTCAGAAGTGAATGAGACACGAAGAACAGAGTAAAAACTGAAACTTCCATGGGAATTCATCAAACTATTTTTACATTAATTACCCCTTAAACTCTATCATAGTTTGTTATCTATCAAGATGTACATTTTGTATATCCTAACTAATGTATGGATGTCTTCCATCGCTTGCCTAAATGTTTCCCAACATATATGAAACCTGATGACTGGTTAGTGTTGACAAAAGCAGTTATGATAACTGCAAGAGGTAGTTTAGTTTAACTCAACTTTCTATGATAAGTGGTGAGTAGTGTGCAAGTCCTAGCCCTCTGTTAAGAAGGCAAGTTTATATGAGAGCCCACATACGTGCTGCATTCACCAGTTCTTGATGTATACCTCGGTATACAAGGATTCGACAGCCTTCTGGCCTGCCGCATCTGGAACACAGTGCAAAGCTAAGATTAGAGTTAACCTATACTTAAGAGAGGGAGGAAAAGAGAAAAAGTGTTGCTGAGAGATAGGAATAGCCAGAATGCCCAATTTGCCCCCACCACAAAGCACAAACACCCTTCTCCAATTTTTCCTTGCCCCAACACCCATTGCTTTTGCAGAAAGACTCATACTTCAATGCTGAAAAGTTCACATGGAACATTAAGCAATTCAAAAAAATTACTACCTACATAAGATTTCACTTTCATATTTTAAAAAACCTATACATATCTGATAACTTGAATGTTGAAAAACAAGCAAAAACTGGTTTCTAAGCACTGATCTGCTTGTAAGAAAAGCACCACCACCAGGAAAATATCAAACTCGTACTAAAGCAACATTTGAGCTGCGATCGTTACCTGATAAATCTACATATAAAGGACACGACACTATTAGAATTCTTGAGATTGGGGTACAGTATTTCAAGAACAGTTAAGAAACTCTTCCACAGCAGAGTTTAGACTTCCTAATCACTGACTAAATCTTATTCCTTGTTTACTCAGGTTAAATAAATAATTGAAAATTTACTGTGAGGGGGAGCTAGGTGGCACAGTGGATAGAGCACTGGCCCTGGAGTCAGGAGGACCCGAGTTCAAATCCAGCCTCAGACACATAAACACTCACTGGATGTGTGACTCTGGGCAAGTCACTTAACCCCAATTGCCTCACCAAAACAAAATTTTTTTACTACAAATAAAAAAATATGACTTGGGTTTTTGGGGTTTGTTTCAATGTTTTTGATGAAGGGGAAAACCCATACTGTATCTTTTAGTAGTTATGCAGTATTTGAGGCTCTAGACCTAATTTTTCTCTATACATTATTAAGTCTACTTGAAAATATATGAAAAAAAATTGTCAAATCACTATAAGGCTACCTACTAGGCAAACCTATTTGCTGTAGGCAAAGAATACCCTACGATATTGCCAAATAAATAGTCATATGTTATATAACATAAAAATGATTTAAAATTATCGCCATGAAGAAGAAATTCTACTTCTGTATATATGAATTGAGATGCCCCACCACTTGTCTTATGGATCTAGATTTTGACTGGATATTGATCAAAACGCAAACTAACTGAAATGTTCTATACAAGGAGACTCTATTGAATAAACAATTTAATTCTTTTCATGGACTTAAGGACATATTAGGGCTAGACTTGCACCCAGAAAAGTGACAACAGATCCCCAACAAGAAAAATTAATTCACACAATTACACCGGAAGACACAAATTTGCAAGTGTTTGAATTAAAATTTGGTACCTCTAGCATAGAAGATAAAGACCTCAGGACAGATGTAAACCGGTCCTCAGGATAGTAAAAACTCCCTGGTAGTAAAAATGTCTTAATTCATACAATTGGTCAAATGAGTTATAAGCCTTAAAAAATCTGAAGAAATGATTTTATGCTAAGAATTAGTTGGTTGTACTAAATCTATAGCTATTAAAATTTTATCCTCAGACTTCCTAAGATCAATGGACCTGGGAAAATATGTTTTCCTGATTGTGCATTTAGGACAATACAATGCACACAAAAAGGTACAAATACATAACACTAACAGGAAGCATTAAATTAGAAATGCATTATTTTTGCAAGTCTAGTTGGCATGACAGTTATCATGCAATATACTTTAACTACAATAGGAAGACAAGAAGGATTAAGAAGAAGGAAAGGATATACAACTTCATAAAATGGAAATAAACCTTGGAAAGCAATAAAAGCTCAGAAACATACAGAAGTTGCTGATCTTCCAGGTCCCCGTTGTGCTACTATGGCACCAGAAATTGCTTTAATCCAATTATGCATCTCCTCTGGACTGTCAGCCTAAGAGAAGAGAAGAAAATATTTTGTCATGTTTTTCTCAAGAGAAGCTTCTATCTTAATAAAATATGAACTAGTTTACATCGTGTCCTCATCAAGAGCAATGATCAAAAGATACTAGAGCAAGAGCACTGGATTTAGAGCTCAGGAACAAGTCTGGTTCTGCTACTTACTACCTGGATAATCCTGGATAAGCCATTCCCATCTTTGGGCCTCAATTCCCTCATTTTTAAAATAAGGAGGTTGTATTAATAGTTAGATCTCTAAATTCCCTTCTGGCTTTCCATGCCAAGGCTCCCTTCCCTAACTTTCCCCACACAACGGAATTACTATTCTAAGTCCAGATCCTGAGGAGTGAGTCACCACAGACATAAGAGTATGTTAGATGAATAATCATATTTTCAGATAACTTTGTTATCACTTAATGAATTTCTTTAATGCACAGTACTAAGTACTCCACTACTATAGTTAAAACCTATCCGTGTCCATTTTCTATTACTTTTATCCATATTCTCTAGGAAATCTACAGAAAATTCATCCATGTGCTGGACTGGGCAAGCAATCTGATACAGGTTATATACATTGTATAATCATATAAAACATTTCCACATTGGTAACTTTGTACAAGAAGACTTGAACAAAATAAAAGAAAGAGAAAGGAAGGAAGGAGGAAAGAATGCTTCAGTCTGTATTCAGACAATATCAGTTCTTTTTCTGGAGGCAGATAGAATGTTTCATCATGAGTCCCTTGGGATTATCTTGGATCACTGTATCGCTAAGAATAGCTAAGTCATTCACAGCTCTTCATTGTACATTATTGCTGTTACTGTATACAATGTTCTCCCGGTTCTGCTCATTTCACTCAGCATCTGTTCATTCGATGGCAATCTTACAATACTTTCACCTGTATAACTTTTCTTTTGTAATGACTTCTGGCTGCTTCTGGAGACTTTCTCATCCCCTCAACACCAGAATAGGACCTGCCCGTGGCTGCCAGGATGTAGGGCCAGATATTCTATCTTCCGCATCTAGGTCACTTCCAGAGGCTTTCCAGGTCATAAGCTAGGCTTGGGTCCTATTGGTGCCAGCTGGAGAGACTGGCCAGGGAAATGTTACCTCTAGCCTTCTGATTAGGCTACCAAACTTGCCAGGACATACATATTTCTTCCTGCTCATCCCTCCCAAGAAGGGCTTTTGGAAGCCTCACAGAACGAAGCAACATTGTCCACCTCTCCAGTGGACCTCTCCCCACAAGATCAGAGTCATTCCCATGGTTAGCATATTCCTACCCTCTTACTCTCCCCAAAAGCTTATGTAATGTTGAAATTAATTGTTCATTAAATGTCTAGTAAAATTCACTTGTAAATCCAACTGGTCCCATGTTTTGGTTTTGGGTTTGGTTTCATTTTTTTTTTCCCCTTTGGGTGCTCAATTTGGGTTTGTTCAATTTCTTTTTCTAGATTGGGTTAAGTCCTCCATTAAGTACTCTTGTTCTATTAATCTGGGCATTTTATATTTTTTAAAATACTTATCCATTTCATTTATATTGTCAGTTTTATTGGCAAATAATTCTAATAATTATTTTTTTTCATTTGTTGTAAATTTACCTTTTATATTTTTAAATTCTGGTAATTAAATTAGCTATTAAGTTCTCTTTTTTATTGCTGTTTTTTTTTAACTACCTCCTAGCTTTATTAATTCAATGGTCTGGGGTTTTGTTTTGGTTTTCTTTCAATTTTATTTTTCATTTTCAAGACTTTTACTTTGGTGTTTAATTGGAGTTTTAAATTTCCTGCTTTTTTAATCTTTTTGGCTGCATGCCCAATTCGTTGATTTGTTATTACTAATGAAAATGTTTCAAAATATTAATTTTCTCATAAGGAATACTTTGTATCAAAAGATTTTTAATATGTTCTTTCATTGCTGTCATTTTCATTAAATGAAATTACTGATATTTCCATAATTTGTTTTTTGGATGCACCCATTTTAAAGGATTAAAATGATCTCTGATGAAGTTTTAATTGTTTCTTCAGTTTCCCCTTATGAAATTTAATTCTTACTGCATTATGTAGCACATAAAAGATGTTTAATACTTACACTTTTCTGCATTGCTTTTTATGTCTTGATACTAGCTCAATTTTTGTAAAGGTGCAATAAACAGCTAAGAAGTAGCTATGCTTCCTTCTAGGCCCATTTAGTAACCACCAGAGAAGTAACAGATGTTAACATTTCTAAAATTCTACTCAAGTCCTTAACACCTTTCTTATTTTTGGTTAGACTTATCTAAGTCTGAAAGGGTTTGTAAAATGAGGTTCCTCACTATTATAATTTTATTGTCTATTTCTCCCTGTAATTCATAACTTTTAAGTATTTAGATGTCTAAATACTTAAATACAAATACTTTAGTATTAACATTAATTCATCACCTATGTAAGCTTTCAGCAAAATGTAGTTTATCTGTTTATCATGTTTACTTAGTTCTATTTTTTGCTGTTGACTTGTCTGAGATCATGATTGCTAACCTTACCTTTTTTAGTTTACCTGAAGCATAACAGATTTTGGTCTGGCCCTGTGTTTTAACTCTATGTATCTTTGTTTCAAGTGTTTTTTCTGTATACAACACACATTGGATTCTACTTTCTAACTAATTTTATGGAAAAGTCCATCCCATTCACATCACAGTTATGATCGTTAATGCTATGTTTCTCTTCATCCTGTTATCATACTTTCCTTTTTTCTACCCACTCTTTATAATGAAGGTGATGAACTATATGCCAGAAGTAATCTATTTCTGCTCCCCTGCTTTCCCTCCCTCCCTCTTCTCTATCACTCCTTTTTTTCTTATTCAACCAGAGCCTAACCACAGGTTCTTATCTTTTCTTTCTTTGCTTTTAAATCCTTTGTTGAGATCTACTTCTCTGTATTTAGTATCTGCTTTGCTTAGGACTAAAGTCTCCCTTAATTTGCTCTCCCCCATTTCCCTGCTGAAATACCTTTCTTCATGCAATTCTGGGTGTATTCTTTGCTCACCTAACCATTTCACACGATAGTGAATTCCAGTGTCCACCTGCTCCTCTCACTCCTTTCTCCTAGTCTGTACAGACTTCTACTTGCACACTGAAATTATGTAAGATACTTCTCCCTTCCAGCCGCCCCCTCAAGTATAATCCTTTAAATTTATTAAAACATAACAAAATACTCCCAAGGCTCTCCTGTCTATTAGACTTCTGGGAACCTTTCTGATAACAGGGCTCTGAGGGGACACATCTAGTGCCAACTCTCCACACCAGAATGCCAACTGTTCAATTTTGTGTAGTTCCTTATGGATGCTCACTCACATGCACTCTTCTGTGTTTCTCTTCATTTACCATGTTTGTATTTCAAAGTTTCCATTCAGCCTTGCTCTTTTCATTAGGACTGCTTAAAAGTCCTTCATTTCATTAAAAATCCATTTTTTCCTCGTATAGGATAATACTGAGACTGCTGGATAAGATATCTTGGTTGCAAGCTTTTTATCTTTTACCACCATAAATGTAATATTCCAAGCTTCCCACTACTTTAAAATGGTACCTGCTAAATCTTGTGTGATCTCAATGGTGACACCTGGCTAAATGTTCCTGAGACTCTTCATTTGAGAAATTCTTTCAGAAGATGACTAGTAGAGTCTTTCTATCTTCAATCTGAACTCTAATTCTATGTGATCTGGGCAACATTTTTAATAATGATTGTTTAAAATACCCTGTTCTCAACTCTTTTTTCCCCCATCATGGCTTTCAAGTAGTTCAGTGATTCTCCCTGTAGTTGGACCCTGAGTCTGATGTAGTCCAACTTTGTTCCTTGACCTATTTTCTAGGTCAGTTATTTTGTTATGAGATACTTTATACTGTCTTCTTTTTTTCATAGTTTTGACTTTGCTTTAATATTTCCTGTTATCTCCAAGAGCTATTAATTTTATTTGGTCCATTCTAATTTTCAAGGACTCAATTTTCTTTCCAATTCTTTCTTCCACAGCTCTCATTTCTTTTCTAATTCTTTCCCCTAGCACTCTCACTCTATTTATAAAAATCATTTTTAACAAAAAAATAAAAACCTCCTGCTTTGTTTTTTCTAGGAATTCTAGTTGAACTTGTATGCAAGCTGTGTTTTAATTTGAGACTTTGCTTATAAATACTTTGGGGTATTTCTCTTCTTCTGGATTTGTGTTCTAAACACTGTTTAGGACATGTTCCTGTACTAAACAGGACACCAAAATGTTCCTTATAACTTCTGTTTTGTTTTCTCATTCTTCCAGCCTACTACTTGACTTCAGATTCTGTGTTAGGGCCAGCTTCTGTGCTTTTCTGGAGGGAATGGCTAGGTCATATTCAATATCCTTTTGTGCCTTCTTGGATCCTACTGCTTTCTCAGGGTAACGCGTGTTATATAATCAAGGATATCAGGGATAATTAAGGCTAAACACCTGAAAGTTTTCAACATTCCCAAAAGAGTTACGATCCAGAACAAAGCCTGAGTGCTGCTTTCCTAGTTTGAGCTCTGCAAGTTCCTGACAGGTCTGGGTCTGAGCAACACAACTATGGGACTTTCCTTTAGTTATAGAGCTCCAGTAGAGTACTCCTGGGCTCAGCTACCACTAGTCAGTTGGAAAGCTCTACAGATTTAGATTTTCCATCCTGGTTATTCTGCTGCAGTTACCTTCTGAAAGAACCCCTAAAACACAAAGTCTCAAGAACATTTAGCCAGGTGCCACTATCAACATGATACAAGATTTGGCAGGTACCATTTTAATCTGAGGGTCAATCATATATGTTCTAACATCTTCTAAGGAAACTTTGTATGATTTTGATAGACGTACGAGACACACCTTGTTAGAGGAACCTTCAAGACAGCATCTTCACCTAGCAAATTACTTTTTTTATAGTCAACCAACAATAAAAGCATAGAGATATCTTAATTTCTCTTGTGGTCTGCTGGACTATTACTTATGAAAACCTGCCTATCCCTCCATATAATGGACTTCAACAAAGATGCCCTTGATGTTTATAGATTGTTCTCATAAAAATACTACAGAAATGGGTGGGAAAGGGTATACAGATGAATAGTTATGACTGTTTTCTCAGTCACATTTCTGGTAATAATAAGGTTCAAAATTTTTTTCCATGCCTTTGAGATCTTCCTCTTTCATATACCTCCAGAAATCAATTCCTCATTATCTTCACAATTATATTGTTTTCAATTCAAAAGTCTTCTGTATATGATCTGATCTAAAACAGCTGCTTTTCCTCTCTCTGTTTTCTTTAGTACCATTTCCATTTCCTCATGAAGCACATCTGGGATTGTAATGTTAAGAGTTCAAATGTGGTAGGAGCACTGCCCTTGACAGTGGTTATACAATTTTTTTATAGATCTTTCTCATATTTTTAATTTGTTGTGTTCCTTACTACTTCATCCTTAAATGGCTTTGGAATGACTTTCTTTTCTTAGTTGGGATCTCTGGCCAACCTATCTTTTTCTAATGCTTCTATTTTATGAAATAAAAGGCCAGAGACAGTGACTGGACCTGTAGTTTTCATGGGTATAGGGAATTCCCAGGTGAAGAAAGCCCTCTACTAAAACAGGCTGGCTTCTTCTCTTGAACATTCTGTTTAGAAAGTTGCCTAGAGTACTGAAAGATTCAGTGACTTGCCTGAGCTCACAGTCAATTTTGTGTCAAAGGCACAACCTGAACCCACTCTTCTCTGACAAAAAAATTAATAAATTTTCTTTTTTTATTGTGAACTTCAAATGTAAACATTTTAGTATGAAAAAAAAGGACTCTGCATATGAGAAATTCTGTTATGTGCAGTTTTCTTTCTTTCCATTACATTTTGGGGAGGGTGTGTTTCACTTTATTAAATTCAACTTTTACATGGTAGCTCCAACACTGCTCTATGTCCCCTTCTAATTTTTCTTTCAGTTTCTTCTATTTATTTTTTAAAATGATTAATTGATGCCATTTCCCCCTTTTCCACCTTTTTGTTAGTGTCATAGAGCCTGGCACCTATTAGGTATTATTCCCTTTCCTTCCCCTCCTTTATCCTATCTCTCTACTTGGAAAAGAGATCAAGAGCATGCTGGTTAAGTCAGGTCCTAAACTGTTTTTTGTCTCCTCATTATGGCAACTGATTTACATTGGCTAAACTGCTCTAGGAAATGTAATAATCTGTGTCTATGTTTGTTCTTCCATCCACTTCCCAATTTAGGCTGTCAAAAGGCAGTTTAAAAAGTTCAGATTGAAGTCACTTTGATAGTATACCCTTTCTTTTTTCTAATTTTTATTCTCCCTCCTCATTTTATATTAATTTTGATACCTGGTCTAACAAGTCAGTGGTTTTGACTATATAGAGATGGCTGATTTAGGAATGATTCCTAATGAGGAGAGAATCATTTTCTCTCTGTTAAAACATGACCAATTTAATATTTATGTTATTTGATGCTTGACATATCCCATGCCTCCCACTTGCTTCTTTTAAAAATATTTTAAAAGAAATAGTTGCAAGCCTCTTGTATGGTACATAAGCTTTGGGCTTTTCTTGTTTCTTACTCCTGAACCACATTTTTTCATCATACTTTTCACCATCATGCCTCTATGCCCACTTCTGCATTAATATGGAAAGTCACATCAAGTTCTTCTATATCCAAATCACTTGAAATGGATATTAGTACATAAATTGTAATTATTTTAATGATGGTCTTTTTGCAAATATTTTTTGCAACATAAGATAACCAAACAAGCCAATCAATTACTCTATAATATTAAGGTAATTAACTCTAATATGAATCATAATTTATTATAAAATTACAATAAAGGGAAAAATGGAAAACTAAAGGCCCATTAAAAAGTGAACAAAGTAATACCACGCATTCCAACTTAAGAGAAATAGTTTTCAGGACTTATGAATCAATAGCACTCATTAGGCAGCAAAGAAATCACAAAATTCAAATTCTAATGACATTTTTCCCATTCTAATGTAACTTAATTTTATTAATAACGGAAAGATTATTTTCTACTTCTTAAGGATACGGCTCAAAAACAACCTTCCATATAAAATCTTTTTGTGTTTGTGGAGTATAATTTTTGAACCCCAAAAATGACAGATTCTAATATATGCAATGCTGCCTTATATTTTCTTGCAGAATCTCAAAATAATTGTCTTACCTGCACATAGAAGGTTCTAGACGTTGTTACAATTTCAAAGAGATTGTCTCTCATCATTATGTCACTGGGAAAACAAAACATCCAAATGTATTTACAGTTGATTCTTCATGCTGCTCATCTTTCATCAAGTTTCAATAAGTAAATAGAAACCAAGACTTTTAAAAAGAAAACTTCCTTAAGAATAAACAAATGTCAATAATGAAAGTGTTAGATAAATATAAACAAACTCAGATTAGCAACTATTACTTCAACTTCATTTCAGTTTTTGTCTTGGGGAAAAAGGGTAGGAAATAAGCTTTTATATAGGGCCTACTGGTGCCAAGTGCCTCACCAATATCTCATTTGAAGAACAGAAAGTTGTGGTACCTTTTTATATTACATTTATGATGCAAATAAAAATGCTTATGTTTCAGGACCTCAGCTTTCAAGTTGTTACATAAGTTCCTGATTAGCTGTGTGTGGCCCAATCTGCTGATTAAGCATGCCTTCCTCCCCCTCCTCCATATGTCCGTGTCAGTTTCAAAGCGGTTTTCTATTTTATCCTTGGAGAAACATCAGCAGAGATGAGAAATTATTCAAGCAAGCCACATCTGCAGTGCCTATGAGTACTAAAAATAATCGAAAATATCAAATCTTCCAATCAAGCTGGCTAATTATAGACTATTTTTATTAAAATTATTTTTTCTAAGAGTTTAAATAAGTTGAAAATAGATTTCTAATACTTTGTTTCATCATGAAGACCATGGGAAAATCTAATCCTTTAAATGCGATTTTTAAAATAGGTATGAAGTAAATGTCTCAATTATAAACAACTAAATTATGTAACTGATTAAAAAAAAATAAGCTAGTAACTGGCTATCACAACCCAAAGACACATTATCTATTCAACTATAACAGAGCATTTGAATGGGGTTTAAATCAGTATTGCTCACCTCTGTTTACATTCTTGGACTTTATGAACCTCCTTAAGTGGTATTATCCGCAGGGGTTCCTTTTCCTGCCAAAATAACATGTAAACCAACGTATATATCACTTTTCTTTTAAGATCATGTTCAGGACTAGCTATTTTCCTTGGGAATCTACATTAAAACTTAATAATCTTATTAGCCATCTAAAACATGATCACTACAAATCTAATACAAAACTTCATGTTACGAAGGGAAAACTGGCACATAATCCCTCACATGTCTTATGCCTGCCTTTAATGAAAGCCTGGCTTACTTTTGAACTATTAAATTAACCAATTAGGGTTTTTTCCCAACATCTCTGAAAGACTTGAGATTGGAACAATGCAATTATAAGCCATGATTCCAAAGGACTGGGATGAACCATCTTATCTACCTTCTGACAGAAAGGTAAGATGCAGAGTGATACGTATTTTTTAGACAGTCAATAAAAGAATTTGCTTTGCTTTACCACGCATCTTCATTACAAGGGTTTTCTTTTTTAAACATTTTGCTTAATGGGGGGAAAGGAATAGGAGGGAAGAGAAGATAAATGCTTGTAAATTTTAAGAAATTATAAAAAAATTTGTGTTTTTTTTTTAAATTTTGAGTATCACAAACTTAAAATAGTAGCTCTCATTAAAGAGGCTTATAACACATTACAAATATGTACTACCAAGTAGAATCAGAGTCAAAAACAAGTCTCAAAGAAACATATAAGTGAAATATGTGAGTTGGTCATGTAGTGAGAGTGGGCTAATAGCCAACGGACAGCCCACATGCTCCACTGGAGTCCTCATGATATCAAGAGAAAGCGAGGAAGGTCCCCTTATATAATGTCAAAGACACTCTAGTGGCAAACTTGTAGGAGAACACAGAAGAGGAGCAAAAGCAGCCACAGAAAGGGGTAACTCCCATCACTGAAGGGAGTCTCCATCTGGGTGCCATCAGTTCAGTGAAGTTGATGTTTCCAAGCACTTTTCTCCCAGCAACTCTGGGAGGTTAAGTAATGTAAATACTATCTCCATTTTACAGCTGTGGAAAGGGAAGCTTGTTTAAATGGCTTGCCCGCCGTCACCGAAGCAGAAAACACCAGGAGCAGGACTCAACCTCACATCTTCTGATGCTACTGCACGACATCATGCGCATAAATCACAGGACTATGAGCATGAAGTGCTTTGTAAACCTTGAAGTCCTACAGAAATGTGAGACAGCAGCTTTACTTTGTCAAGCAATACTGACCACTCCACTTGTTAACTGAGTTAAATTTTAAGCTTAATTAACTTTTGGTTTTTTGGGTTTTTTTTTTTGCAAACCAGACATGGCACACTATTTCTAAAAATCAGTTGCTTTAACAAGGTATAAATCCACTTATGTTTAAACTAAGTTGTTAAGAGATATTTCCTAAACATACAAAACATAAACTAGCTATTCAATGTGTCAGTAAATCTCACACTATGTATTTTAAAATAAGATTATTCAAGGGTGTCAAAAGACAGTTATAATTTTGTTTACATGTCTAAAACCATCTCAGGATAAATAGCCAAGAACTTAAAATGAGGGAAAGCTTCAATAGTCTAAAATAAATCTCATCTATTTTTTCCCAAATGGATAGATTTATGGGCTGGAAGAAAAAGGAAGAGGGTAAAGATAAGGCAATATAACCCTTGTGTCCAATACTGGCTCCCAGTGATAATTATTCTTTTTCCTTCTGTGGACCTACTATACAGGTTTATCTTTCCAGTGTGGCTCTTCAATTTTGCTTTGGTTTGGATCTATAAATTTATTGGAATGAGGAACTCACACTGTAAAAATCCCCCCCATCAAAGGAAATTTGCCAATTCATGTGTAACTTACAATGAGCTAAAGGGAAGTACCGGGAAGCTGTGCCTCGGTCATGGTCATGTAGATACAAAGTCAGCTCCTCCTGGCTCTACCCATTATACCACCCTGTCTTGCCCTTTGTGTTTTCATGATCCTTTTACCAGATATATAATATAAATAACATCAGCAAAACACATACAAATAACAACATTCAAAAGTGGCTTGAGTATGTTACTCAGAATGCCAAGGAAGCACAAGAAATAAGAAGTGTGGCCATTACAATATAGGGACAGGGATTCATAGTACAGGGAAATCCTGGGAGAGGAAATTCCCTCTCCCAAAGCAAGCTGACATGTCTTTGCAACTCATCTACAGTAGTGATGTCAAAGTTAAATACAAAAGGACAGCTGTAAACCCATACTGACCACCACATGTTAACAGTATCTATGTTATATTGTATTTTTATTTATTTGTTAAATATTTCCCAATTACATTTTAATCTGGTAGAGTTTGGGGGTGGGGGTCTAAGCAAATTTGACATCTCTAGTCTAGAGTACTGAGAGATTAGAACTTGCTCAAGCTCACAAAGCTAGTATGTGTTAAAAGCAGGATTTGAACTCAATTCTTCTTGGCTTCAAGACTGACTTTCTTCCACGATGCCAAACTGCCTCTCTTTCTAAATAAGTTTTTTTTTTAAACCGTTTTTGTGTCATAGACTTCTCTACAGTCTGATGATGCCTAAGAACCCCTTCTCAAAATAATGTTTTTAAATACAGAAAAGTTATTGCAATATAAAAAAAATTTGCAGACCTTGTGAAATCTATCTACAGATCGCTCCAAGGGGCAATGGACCTCAGATCAGGAACATCTGTTCTAAATATTTACTTTTTACATCAAAATTTGTGATGGGGAAACATACCAGTTCAGATTTGAAGTAGCCTATAGTATTTTCATCCAATTGAAAGTATCTTCGCTTCCAGTTCTTCATCTGCCGGAGGCGAAAACAAACAGTAAGACTTCTGTTTCTAAGAATGTCAAATGTTGATGGTCATTTAATTATTCCAACATGAACACAAAAGTCAGAAATACCAAAGGCTGAAAAACTTCTCTATTCAAACTGAGATACAAATGATATCTTTCATGTTACTTCAGCCTGAGGTTTTAATAAAACTCAGAAAAGTAAAAGATGCCGGTTTTCAGTTCTTATGCTACAAACGGTTTAGAGAATTAACTGAACTGGAAATTTGATGGACTTTCCAAACTTTAATAAGCAGATTCCCTCCACCTCCTCCTTCCTCAACATATACTATTGGAACAAGTACAGGAAATTAAACCACTAAGTCTTCAGTTTTTCCATCTGAAATACAAAACCACCTACTTAACTTACATGAAGGCAAGAACTTATTTCTTATTTTTCTTTGAAAACCTCCCTATGCCTAGTACACTGTATTATGTATAATGGATTTTCTGGGTATAATGATTCCTGGCCTGACTACAGAGAAAGGAAAGAAGTGTTAGGACATTAGCTCCTCTTAATGGTTCCTTCACCCTAAAGCCTACAACACTTTGAAGCCAAACCCATAGTGATGTTGATAACAGACCTGAACTCATTCATCAACTATTAACAAACTCTCATCTAGTCATAATTTCCCTATCTCAATGATCCTGAACCCCCCAGATTCCACTATTCAAAACCCTGTTCTCCACCCTCCATTGTACACTCCCTTATTCCTATCTGTCTCAACCCAATTCCCCAATGTCCACTCTAGGGCTATCCACCATTTCTAATGTGCCCTTTGAAATGTCTGCTACATAGGCAACAAATTTGCTTTCCTCTTTAATCTTTTCCTTTCCCATTCCTTTCACCTTCTGGCTCTCCTTGAGACCGGACTCTCTTCTGATGGCCTCCCATTCGAGCACTAGTTGCACTTCTACTCATTTCTACTGTTGGAATACTCATTGCTCCCCACTGTCATTTCCAGGTTCTCCCTCTACCATCATCTCTCAGTAACTCCTCCACTACCACTCAGGACTCCCCTTCTTTATTCGATGAGGGAATGCTTCACAGTGTCTCTCACCTCCCCAACTCTTGCCCTCATACTAGAAGACTTCAACATATGTACTGACAACTCCTTCAAACACCAAACCTCACAGGTCCTCAACTTCAGACTTCTTCACATGACCTATTTCTACAGCCCACCTCGTACAGAGATAGTCATACCTCTGATCATCACCCACAAATGCACCACTTCTACATTCATAAATTCTGACATTTCCCTATCTGATCAGTCTGTAGCCATTCCACTTCTCTCTCTGCCATGCAACCCCAAACCCCATTCTTCCTCTTCACCATGACCTCCAATCCCTTGACCTCTCTCAGTTCTTTCCCAGGCTGTCACCCCTCCACTAGGCTACACTCTCCTCTCTTCCCCATTTGTACCTCTTAATGAGTCAGTTCAATAATTCACCGCCCTCTTCCCTTGAGTACTTTGTCTCTGTATCTTGTCATCTATTTTGCCCTCCTAAGCCTCAGTCCCACCATCTCAACTGGGCCCTAACTGAAGTAAGGTAATCCTATTTGATTTATTACTCCACACAGTGGCTTTCCTATACCTTTTCATGACCTTCCCTCCCCCTTCCCTCTCAGTTGACAATCTTGCCTCACATTTCACTGGAAAAAAAAAAGCCAATCACCAATAGTTCCCTCTTCTCCCCTCCTCACAGCAAATCACAGATACCTTCTGTCACTATGTCCTCCTTTACCTCTCACTCACAGGCAGAGGTGGCCCTTCTCTTTGCCAAGGCTAATTCCTCTACATGCACTAGGGACCCCATTCCACCCTATCTTTTCTAAAAGCTGGCTCCCTCTATCACCCCCAATCACTCATCTTCAACTACTTGTCTGCTGCCTGTTTCCCCACTGCTCACAAACATGCACATCTCTCCCATTTTCAAAAAAGTCCTCACTTGCTCCATCCATCTCAACTGTTGGCCCATATCTCTCCTCCCGTCTTTTGTGGCTAAACTCCTTGAAAAGGTCATCTACAGGGGCAGCGAGGTGGCACAGTGGATAGAGCACCGGCCCTGAAGTCAGGAGCACCTGAGTTCAAATCCAGCCTCAGACCAAACACTTGACACTAGCTGTGTGACCCTGGGCAAGTCACTTAACCCCAATTGCCAAAAAAAAAAAAAAGGAAAAGGTCACCTACAATGAGTGCCTCTACTTCCTTTCCTCTTACTCTCTTCTTAACTCTCCATAGTCTGGCTTCTATCCTCATCATTTAACCAAAATTGTTTTCTCCAAAGTTAGTAGTGATTTCTTAACTGTCAAATCTAATGGCCTTTTCTCAATTCTGAACCTTCTTGGCCTCTCTGGAGCCTCTGACACTGTAAATAACTCTCTTCTCCTTGATACTCTCTTCTCTCTAGTTTCTCTGACTCTATACTATACTGATTCTTCTCTTACCTGTTAGACTGCTCCTTCTCAGTCTCCTTGGTTGGATCTTCATCCACATCATCTTTGCTAACCGCGGGCATACCCTAAGGCTCTTTCCTGGGCCCTTTTCTTCCTCCTCACTATTTCACTTAGTGATCTCATCAGTTCTCATGGACTCAACTGTCATCTCTAAACAGATGATTCTCAGATCTACAAATCCGACAGTCAACTCTGCTGGCCTCCAGGCTCCCATCTCTGACTGTTTATTGAGATCTTGAACTGATGTCATATGGACATCTTAAACCACATGCCTAAAACTGAACTCTTGCCTCCCCCCCCAACCTTCTTCCCCTCTTCCTAACTTCCCTATTACAGCTGAGGGTGCCACCATCTTCCGTCACCCAGACTCACAACTGAGGGGTCGTCCTTGATTCCTCATTCTCTCTCACCCCCTACATCCAGTCTGTTACCATGTTACGTTGATTTTACCACAGAAAGATCTCTCATGCATACCTCCTCTTCTCTGACACTGTCGCCATACAGGACCTCACTACTTCACACCTAGACTAATGCAATAGCCTTTTCGTCCATCTCCCTGCCTAAGATCTCTCCTCATTCCAGCCCATCCTCCACTCAACTGTCAAAGTGTCTTTCTAAGGTCAGGTCTAACTATGACATCCTTTCTGCCCAAAATTCCAGGGGCTTCCTATCACTGCCAAGAGCAAATATAAAAGCCTTTGTTTGGCCTTCAAAACCTACTTCTCCCAGCCCCTATCTTTCCATCTTCTTACACCTTATCTCTCCCACCGAGTACTCTCCAATCCAGGAACACAGGCCTCCTTGCTGTTCCTCACACAACACTTCATCTCAGGACTCTGCACATTTCTATTGGCTGTCCCCTCATGCCTAGAATTTCCTCCCTCCTAGTCTCTACCCTCAGGCTTCCCTGGCTTCCTTCAAGCCCCAGCTAAAATCCCAACTTCTACAGGAGGTCTTTAAGAATCCTTCTTGATGCTAGTGCCTTCCCTCTGTTGTCTTGTCTAAACTGTCTCTCTCATTCAACTGTGAGCTGCTTGAGAGCAGGGACTATCTTTTGCCTTTCTTTGTATCCCTAACACTTAGCATAGTGCCTGACACATAAGAAACACTTGAAAAATGTTTAGTGACTGACTAATAAAAGCTAGCATTTACAAATCACTTTAAGGATGGCCAAGCCCTTTATATTACCTTGTTTAATTCTTACCACAATCTAGTAAGGTAGGTACTATTAGCAACCCCATTTTATGAGAAAACTGAAGCTGATAGGTTAAAAGACTTGCACAGGGCTTCACAGCTAGAAGTGTAGTAGGCAGGATTTTGAACACAAGTCTTCCTGACAGCAAGTCAAACATTATATTCAGTGTAACACTTAGGTGCCTATGTGTTGGAAGGATCTGAGCTGCAACTAGGCTCTTGAAATAACAAGGAAATTTTTTAAAATAAAATTATTCTAAACTTACTTCACCTGTACCCTTTCATATTATTTCATATTATTCAGATTATTGACAAAAACAACCTCAATAATTATCTCTTGAAAGAATATAAAGAATACCACAGGGATCTTTTTGAGCCCCCCCTCCAAAAGTGTTATGTATTGCTTAAACTTTGCCATTAAGTATTTCATATTATTAGTTTGCAAAGTAAAAGAGAGCCAGGACAATAAAGGTCCCCCAAAGCATACTAAAATTTCACTTAAAAAGTTCTACTTAGAACTCGGCAGATATTTGAAAGAGAATTCTGCTTGGGCTCTCTCTTTAGTGTCTGAACTAAAAGCTGAGAACCTGTAGCCCTCAGCTTCCTTTCACCCAACCCCCTGAGGTCACAGCACTGATCCAAAGAACACACTCTCCTCCCTCGTGCCCTCCCAACAACCAAAAAAGACCACCACAGCTACAGCACTTTCTACTTCCTCTCTGCATGCACTTCTATTTGAGTCCTTGTCCCTTAAAGCAGAAAGGCAAATGTGAAAAAAATTTTTTTCAACTTTAAAGAAATAACTTAGATGACAGCATAAGCTAAGCATTAAGATCTATTGTCATAAAGGCTACTTATTTTGCACTACCATCTTTACTTAGAGCAGGCTACTTAATTGTAATTACTTACCACTGCCCCCTGTTTAACACAATAACCAGCTTTGATAACTGCATTATCTGGAGGTGGCTTGGGAGTAAAGTAAGGAAGATGGCTTTGTGCCCGTTTCAGATTATTCCTGTCAATAATGTCACCAGATTCATTTACTTCTTCTTTCTAAAATGAAACAGAGATGACAGAGGGGTTTTTTTTGTTATGTATTTATGGCACAAAAGTTATTTTTAATACATATTTTAAAGCAATAAAACATTCCTTAAATCCCATCTCAATTTCATTTAGATGTGTATCAGATTTTAGGTTAAGCTTTTCCCAGTTAATCCATTTACACATACCAAAAGATATTATTCCCTAAAGAACTCTAAACCTTAACATGGGGCCTTAAGCCATTCCCAAAGGTTCCTATATATTTCTTGATCCAGAAAGTTTATCATCATCCAAATAACTTCACTTGAATTATTTAAAAATTTCTCATCTCTTTATCCATCTCTTTTCTCACCTCCCTGGTAGAAAAGAAACAAAAAACTAAAATTAAGTAAAAACAAAAACTAGTTGGACTTCTTAAGAGCTCCTGCCACAGAGTCCAAACAACTATAATTGACATACATCAAAATCCTTAATTCTATTCAAAATTAAAATGCTCAAGAACATGAAGTACTTAAACCTCCTAACAAGTATAGACTAAAACCCTTTCTTCTCACTTTAAAGCAGGACAAAGTGCAAAGCTGTTAGAAGCTTAGTCAACTGCATCTTTAGATCTCTAACATCATATTAGCTCACTAATTCTATAAAAGAGTTCACATAATTTTGGCCCAGTCTGGTCCAGATCCTGGAGAAGATAGGCAGAGTAAGAATTCTCTCTTTCAGCCACTCTCTCTCCCCTGCCAAAAGACTTTCAAAATCTAATATGTAACAAAACTTGAGTTATTACGGGGTTTCCAAAATTTTAGGCCTCTGAAGAGTAAATGACACTTTTCCTCTCTTTTTCATGGTACCTCATGAAAGAATATTAACATATCAAGATTGGCTAGGTCAAACAACCCTTTCTAAATCTATAATTTCTCTACTGCTAATAATTTCACTTGAACTCTAAAGCATGTTTTATGCCATGAAGCAATACAAGAACCAGATGTAATTTCAAGAAAATATTCAATATAGTTATGAAATAATACAACAAACATCTAGATAATAAAAAGATCATTATGTATGCATATCAATAAAATATACAACAAACACCCAGATATTAGGATCATTAAGCACTTAGAACACGCATCAAAACAAAAGAATTCTCCAACCATTCCAAAACACACACTTCCCAATCTCCTTTTGAGGCCTATAATAGCCACACTTTAGAAGAGATGACGTTTTCTTGCGTAGGGACAATTAAGTCTGTCAGAAACAAAGTTCAGAGCTTTGATATCACAGATTTTCTTCACTTAAACACACTGAAAGCACTCTTCAGAAAAACAGGTTAAAAAACAAAATATAATCTGCAATGTTATACAAATCTTTTAATAAGATGAGGAAGAAGTAGCTAATTTTCTACTAGTGTTATAAAATGAATTCAGAAACTGAATAGTCACAGAGAAGAAAAAATGTTATTAGTTTCAGGTTATTTACCTGAGTTGGTGTTATAATAGGTACACCACCCACAATTTCTGTCCTGTAAGACACTTGCTTTTTTCCACCTGGAGTTTCAACTTGGCGACTTAAGCTATCAGAATGAGACTGTGGATCTGATTGCTTTGGTACCTTAAAAAAAAAAACTGTGTTATTATGAAGACAACATTTTTTTAGCTAGAATTTTTAATTAGTAATACATTCTCCTTCAGTCAAGTCCCACACATCATGAACTGGAAGTGATTTTGGGTTCTCCAAGTATGCCAGCAGAACACAAGCTAAACTGCATATTCCAACAACTCATGAAATGCCTATTCTTGGAGGATGAGCCTCAATTAACATCTTCTGAGATGGTCAACAAGGAATGATTTTTTTTCTGTATTGAGCAATTCATGACTTGAAAAGGCACAGAGTCTTTGTAATCTTGACACATTAATAAAATCCTAAATTTTTGAAGGCACCTAGGTGATGCAGTGGATAGAATTCTTGACCCAGAGCCAGGAAGACCTGAGTTCGAATAGAGCCTCAGACACTAGATGGAGCAAGTAATTTAACCTGTCTGCCTCAGTTTTCTCATCTGAAAAATGGGAATGATAATAGCATATCTCTCCCAGAGTTGTTGGAAGTGATAAAATTTGTGTAACATTTAAGTACTATTATTATTAAACATTTTTATGTGATAAAAATATACTAAAAGGTATATTTAAAATTACAGAATATTTACAGGAACCTACCCAAGGAGCCTTTTGGATGGGGGGGGGGGTGTTGTGATGGTGGAATAATAAAAAATATTTACGTATCTTTTTAAAACAGTGAAAAAATGTACTCTAAGAAAATTCTTATTAAGAACTGAGACAAGGCAGATAAATTAAACATTTTATAATGAGTATGAAACTCATTCTCAAATTAGACCAGAATATAACAGTTAAAGCAGAATTTGGCAATTAAAATCCCAACAAACTTTCAGAGGTGCTGAACATGTTTATTCTGTATTTAGTATTTTGTAGGGCTGTGGTCTCAAAATAAGCTGCTCTGGTAATGGAACCCTCAAGTAAATACAATGACCATATATGCCACAAATGAATAGTATGTTCAAGTTGGAAGGGACTGTCAGAGTTCATCCAGGTTCAAGTACAAACGAAGAAAGTGAAGCCAAGCTCACACAGCAGAGTCTGTGGCAGAGGCTGTACTTTAATCTAGGTGTCCTGGAACGGATCAATGTCCAGCCGAAGGTGGGTAGGTATCTAGTAGAATGCCACCAGGGTCTGGTTTTAACCCAGTCCTGCTCAAAAGTTTTATCAACACACAGATACTATGTTTATATGTTCTTAGGGAGAGGCCAAGATGCAAACCTAGCCCTCACAGAATTAAAAATCTATTCTGTAAGAAGACACTTGCACAAATATACTAGAAAACAATACAAACACATGATAAAATATTGTATGAGATTGTTTCTGTCTGTGATCTTTGATTTTTCCCCTCTCCTCATATTGAGCTAAAAAGCTTTGTCGAATCTACCTCCGTGATTTCTGTATGTGTTGGCAGAGCTTATTCCTAACAATTGCCCCTAGAAGAGGTACCAGGCATTTTTCTCTATTCTTTGTGATTAGAAAATACATGAAACATTATAAAACAGATAACATTTTTACATTTTTAAAAGAAACTGAACTTCAGTTTAAATATGTTACACATATAGGGTGTCCCAAAGGGCTTAGTGAAATTTTAAGCTTTAATAACTTCAGAAGTATATACGTTATAAACTTACCCCAAAAATAATTTAAAATCTTAGTCAAGTTTCTTTAATACTTATTTAAGTTTGTGATTTTAAACAATATATTTTTAAATTTTCATTTTAAAAAGACAGAGCACTCTGTCACAAGACATTGCGTGTGATAGTTTCTAAAGGACACTATCTCAAGCTGCCCACCTGAGTCACCTGCTCTCTCTCCATGAGACTTTTTCTTGTGGGGTCACATCAAAACCGTTTTTGGCATCAAAACCACATTCTTTGGACAATCTTAAGGTTAGGATTACACATGCAATTCTCTCAATCACTGAGCAGCAGTTGATAAAAGATTTTACAAAGTTCTAAAATCAACTAAAGTGATATATAATACAAAATGGTGGTTATGTTGAATTATAATAAGAAATATCAATATTTTAAAATTTTAAATAAATAACCTTTGAAATTTTTTTTGTAAGTTTGTAGATCTAGACTGTGTAAGTTATTTAAACTTTAAAAACACTAAAATTTAAACACACTAAAACTGTGGGGACACCATGGTATTGTTGCTTTTACAACTGACAGGATAGGATCAGAGAAGGTTTCACCAAAGACAGATCATGCCATCTGGGTATTGATGGACTGGTAGAATTTCAACAGGCAGAAGTGCCTGATGCAGAGGAGGAAAAGCACAGGACACAATAGTTCGTGTAGGGGCTTAGATTGGTACCCAGAACGTTTTTGTGGGTTTTATGACAAGCATCAGTGGTTTAAATAAGGGCTTGCAGAATTAAACAGGTCTGTTTGTAGAAGCCCCCATTTTAAAAGGGCCAACTTGCCAAGGAGAACAGTTTATTTAGATAAAATCAACTCTGCCATTACAATTTTTCCAGCATTTCCTAACGACTTAGTGTTAAGAAAAGTTTCAATGAAAGCTTCGTATAATTTTACAGCTGGTATAAGAAACATTGAAACTTAAATCAATCAATTTGCTTCTTAACTCCTAAGGGGGAAAAAATTAGCAAAAGTTCTGTCCATCCACTGGTCACAGTACAATAATTTTAATTACAAAAACAAAATGTACCAATGGTACTTCTGGAAATTTTTATTAAAAGACTCTTGGATCCAAAGAACAATTTGCAGTAATTCTAAGAGGCTGAACCTTTAGAGTGCTTCTGAAAATCAGTATCCTGCTGCTAGATGATACTTGATTTCACTTTATTTTCATTGATGTAAGTCAGAACAATTTCTAATTGATACTTCATGGCCTTTGATTGTTCAGAGTGGAGAGTGAGGAACTCATTTCCTGAGAACAGAAAATGGAGTAACTAGAAACCTATCCCAGAAAGATCTATTCAACTCTAGAACATACATGTATTTATTAAGAGACAAGATGGACGACCTACATTGAAAGCAGACACATACTCTAGATCTGAGTATCTGATATGAAAAGGAGCTTCCAAACTATACATTTAACATACTTAAATATTTTGATATCTTGGGAACTTCAAATTGCCTTCTTATTTTCCCTTTATCCATAGTAAAGCTACATTTAAAAAAAAGATACAATAAAGAAACAATAGACTTAAGTCCGGTGCTTCTCCTATGGGTCCTTATTATAAAAAGCTTATGTTAAATAAAGCACAATTTCCATGGCAACAATCTTATAGCAAATTTATAGTAAGAAATAAACTAGTTTTGATCATTTTATTTCCTAATCAATAAGGGGACTACATCAATGAAATAATCTTTGACTATGATTCAATCTTTATCAGAAAATACCTCCAAATAAAGTCTTAAGTCACTCATTAAAATAGAAGTAAAAGAAATTTAACATCTGCTTAATGAGAATAAGAAAATAACCTTACCGAGAACTACTTAGCTAGCATCAAAGAAATGTACCTTAATTCTATTTCATTCCAATCCCTTTAAAAAGTTGCTAGGCAAATCTGTGATTGTGTGCAAAAATGAGTATTTTCTACAAAGAAATGCTTGTTTCCATACCCTGAGACACAGTAAACAGCAAAAAAGATAGGAAAAAAAAGAATCATGCTACATAGGCACCCTATGTCTCACAAAGTCACCCTAATCAATGATGTTTCTGATTAAAGTCATTGCCTCATAATATACTATGTTTTATATATATATATATATATATATATATATATATATATATATATATATATATTTATATATTATATACATATATAAAATAAACCCTACAATAAAGTTATAAAATGCCACAACAGTTATATTTATGACACTGTCTCTATGAAACTAATCCCTCTGACCCACCCCCACTGAAGTTCTTTCACCTAGTTTCATGTGTTCTTGGAACCAATGAGCATTGTTGAGGCAGCTAGTTGTCCCAATGGATATAGTGCTGGGCCTGGAGTTAAGAACACTCGAGTTCAAATGTGGCCTCAGATACTTATTAGCTCTGAAATCCTAGGCAAGTCACTTAACACTGTTTGCCTCAGTTCCTCATCTATAAAATGAGGGAATATATAAGGAAACAGCAAACCACTCTAGTATCTCTGCCAAGAAAATCCCAAATGGTGTCACAGAGAGTCAGACATAAACTGAAACAAATGAACAACAAAAAGCATTCTTGAGCAGGGAAAGATTTTAGGATCATAGCTTTAGAGGCAGAGGGGATCTACGCTGTGAAAGACAGCTTTGCAGACCCAATGACTTTCGAACATTATTAGAAAGGTTTGTTTAGAAACAGCTTACTGCATAGTAAATGGGCTAAATATTAAGAACCAAAATCACTAAAGCAAAATCAAAGTACTCCAATGTTTATTCCTCAGGTAGGTCAGATCGCTAGGAGAGCTACAGGCTTGACACCCTCAGTGGAGAGAACAGGCATAAAATAATGACAAGAGGGTCAAGGGCCCAACAGGCAGGCTACCTACGACAATAACTGAAGCTTGCATAGCACTTTTGAGTTCGCATAGTGCTTCATGTAGTATCACATCTGAATCACAAAAACCCTTCAAAGTAGGAGCCATGTGTTTCATCCACAATTTACAGATGATGGAACTAGGTTCAAAGAGGCTGCCTTGTGGAGAACCATACATTTTAGCATGAGAGGCAAGATCTGAACCCACATCTTCCTTACTTCAACTCTAACACTATCCACCCCCTGTTCTGTTTCCATTTCTCTATGACAAAATTAAAATACCCAGCAGTTAATGGTGGGTTTTGTTTTGCTGGGTTTTTTTATTTTTTTGCCAGAGTGGGAAATCATGACAACATTTTTAAAAGCTTTATTATCAGACTTTCAAAATGTAGATTAAAATGAAAAAAATTTTTTTTGATTGGTGTGATTGGCATTTTGGAAATGGCCCACTTAAAAAATTATCATTATGATATAAACGGAATTAGCTAAAGGCCAATTTACTTTAAATTCCTGAGATATTTATGCCTTCAAGTTTAACTCATTTATTTTCTCACATATTTTATAAGGAGGAAAGAAATTTTTAAAAAAAAGGTAACCACCCACCAGCATTCACACAGGCCTACATAAAGTATCTAAGAAAAGATACCAGGAGACTATGTAGGTGGACAGACCAAGAGGATGGCAAGACACTGTAATTAAAATATGGTCAAACAATCAACTATTCTCTTTTCCTTTCCTTAAACACACACTTCCAAAACAGATGAAATTTTAAGTTTTGAAAAAAATTTCAATATTTATATTATATAATATCTGTGGATCACTAAAAAACAAAAAGTTACACTGCTAATTTTATTTAGAATTTTCCCACAGAAAAGTAAATCCCAAAGTCTATTAAACTGTGCATATTATTTTAATCCACAGTAGTTACAACAATGAACTTCTCATTTTAAAAGAATGTTCTCAAAAGCAAAGTCTGATTTTGTATATTTCATAATTCAACATATTTACAGATCCAAATTATATTCTTTTTCTCTCCATACATATATAATACATGTATAAGGTAAAATAATTACAAGATTTATTATGGTTTTTTTTTAAAGAAACAAAGTTAACAAAATACAGCTAATTAAAAACATATGCAACCTCTCAATGTATATTGTCATTACACTAATAAAACTAGTCTAACTGTTCTAGGGTGACTTTGCATTACAAAGTTATTTTATTTTTAACACTGTCAAATAATTTTACCTAAAAATATTCCTGATACACCATTTCAATGCAACTAGAATCACTTTTTGTGGGAGCCAAGTTTCCTAAACTTTATGTTTTGTTGTTATTCAACTATTTTTCAGTCATTTTGGACTCTTCACAACCCCATTTGGAGTTTTCTTGGCAAAGATACTGGAGCCATTTGCTTCTCCAGCTCATTTTACAGATAAGGAAACTGAGGCAAGCAGGATTAAGTGACTTGCCCAGGGTCACACAGCTAGTATCTGAGGCCAGATTTGAACTGAGGAAGATGAGTCATCCTGACTTCTAGGCCCAGCACTCTATCCATTTCACCACCTACCTGTCTCAAGCTTTATATTAATCTCTAAATGGAAACAATAAAAAACATCAATATCAATCACTACTAAATGCCTCTTAAAAGCTAAAAAAAAGTTCTGAACATGAAAAAGATAAAGCTGCAAGAAAAGTGATAGCAATATCTATTTAATTATATTTTAAAATATTATTCCCACTACAAAATGTGACTTAGAAAATATCAGACATTATAGGAGTTCAGACGCAAAGAACCCTAAAGTAGCAGAAAAAGTTTCTAAGATCATTTACTGCTTTTTAAAAATCTAAAGTATGACTATGTAACCAGTGCTTTAACATGACAAATTGAATAAATGAAGCTCTACAGAAAGTTACTAGAAATTATTTTCCTAAATAAAAATGAGCAAACACTTGCTGAAAGAATATCTGTCCTGTGTGGTCAGACTCTCAGGAGAATATGTACTTCTGAATCAGTCCATGAAATTGCTTCCCTAAAACTACACAGAGAAAAAAATCCTAAAAATAACTTGTGCTTCATGTCGAGATCAGATGCCGTGTGTGGGTGTTTGCTGTCGTGTGGTAACAAGCTGTTCTAGTGCAAGACAAAAAATGCAATTTAACCTCTGAGAAAAGCTCGAGCTATATTAACTCATTGTTGGGAAAAATGCTTTTCATATATATATGAAATTATTTACTTTTCAGATGTTAACTAGAGAGTGCAAGGGGTTTATAAAATGTACTTCAGTAGTCAACTATTTTTCAAAGGAAATTTCAAAAGGTGTGTAGAATTCTTCTGGACATTAAGACATTTAAGAAAGAATAAGAATACTTACTGTTATTTTTATAGCTTTGTTCAAAACATTTACCCATTCTACTAGGTCTTGCTGATCATTGGCTTGTAAAAAGTATTTCCTCATTCCTGCATTCATAACTATTAAGACAAAAAGAAGGACTAAATTAAATTACAACCAAATAAGCTACTTTAAAGTCTATGTTAATATAACAACTGAAAAACTGTTGCAATGTTTCACCATATCCCACCTCTGAGACAACCTGTGGGACCCTGAAAGCGTCCTGAGTCCCTGCTAGGCTTGCTTCCTCGTCTATGACATGGAGGGGCTGCTCTAACGGATCCCTGAAGCCCCTGCCAGCTCTAAATCTATGATCCTGGGAATTTCAAGCAAACTGTCAAAAGCTACTGATCCTTTCACTAATAGGTTTTGACGTGAAGGGGCCAGGGCAGCGAGGTATATATTCAGAGCAGGAAGGGACTTTACAGATCATCTCATCTGCCCCTTTTATTTTACAATTGAGGAAATTGAGACCAAGAGAGGTAAAGCAACTTGCTGAAGTCACAGAGGGAGCAAGTGGCAGAGTTGGAATTTCAAACACAATACTCTGACCCCAGTTCTGGTGCTCAGAATCCTCCCTCCAAAAAGCCTCATATGCATTCAATTAACTGCCACTTAGAATGGTGAGACAACTCAAAATATACCAAAATCCAAGCTTCAAGGGAGAGAGTCTTCTCATTATGAAAGTTTTTTTCAATTAAAAAAACCTGCAGTGTTACTTTCAACAGTTATCTATGTTTAATGGCTTGGTTGTAAATCATTTACTATATGACAGAGAAGCTGGGATAAGAACTGGAAATTACTATAAACTATCTCACAAAATATAATGTAAATCATCATGATTTTATTTATACAAACCTTTTCAGAAACATAACTGCTGCATAAACCAAAGTACTGCTACACAGTTAGTTATCTGCAAATTATCAATGTCTACCACGGAAATAAAACTTTTCTACAGCACATGCATTTTCCTGGCAAACAGCTTTTTTTTTTAGAATAAGCCTAAGGCATGTGAACAGACATAGGGATGCCACTGCTAAAGTCTCTGAGGGCAGGGCCTGCTCAGCCTGAGAGACCCCGAGGGCAGGTCCTACATGAGTGCAGCTAAAAAACATCACACCCTAAGCTCTCTGTCTTGTGTTCCCTGCCATCAGCAATAGCTGCTTGGATCTTCTGGTGCTCTTCAGGGCCTAGTGTCCTAGGGCAGCAAACTCCCACCACCTTCTGCTCTCCCAATGCCAGTGAAACTGAAAGGCCAGGTGCATAAGCAAAAACTTCCCTCTCTATCACAACTTAGCCTTCCCATGACCTACTACAGTTCTTCTGACGTCCTCTCACCAACTTTATACCAGGTCACTTCGAGCTTCCTTGAATTGAGCTAAACGCCTTAAAAATGAAGCTGTGGGAGAAATCTGACTACAGACACAACTTGAGAAAAGTACTGAAGAAGAACCAGTCTCCTAAAGATCAGATTTTAAGGCTTCCTGGAAGGCTGCGCAGCAGTGAGGCTGTTAAGATTCATGATAAAACACAAAGATATATTAATAATTTAACTAGGATTTTACTTAATATGCTTGGAAAAAAATGTTTTTCTAAACACTGAATCAAGAGATCCTTACAATCTTTCCTCATTCCAGAAAACAAAGCCTTCTCATTATCCATGCAAATACTGAATATTTACTATATGAAAGGCTTGAGCATCAATCAGTGTTAGTTTGCTTTAGGACTAGTTTCAGGAACCAAAAAAAAAAACAATGTGAGGGAAGAATGTGAGTTCCATGTCGACAAAAACTGTTTCTGATTTTTTTTTTCCTTTGGAACTCAATGCCTTGGATATGTCTTGCACATAATAGGCCCTTAAAGGTGTTAAATCTGTTGAAGCAAAATGAATTCAAGAGGGGCAGCTAGGTGGAAAAATACTAGTAACCTCGACAGGAAAATGACCAACATTGAGGAAAAGCAGGCCTGGGGGAAAGAAGGTTAGTTCTGTTGTGGACATATTGAGTTGGATATCCTAATGGGATATGCATGTGGAGTGTTCAGGAGAGAAATGAGGGCTAGCCAGAAGGCTCCAAATGTCAATTCTATAGAAACTATGACTCGAGACAATCACAACTGACAACCAAATGAATACAAGGAAGCTAACCAGATCACCATAAAGGAGAAAAGGAGGCTAGGACAAAGCTTTGAGCTGAAAATAATAAACTAGCAAAGGAGACAGCAAAACAAAAGGAAGAGCAGGAAAAAAACATCATTAAAGCTAAGGAAGGAGGGAATATTCAGGAGCAGTAGGTAGTGAACAGAGTCCAAAGCTGCAGAAAAGTAGAGAAATGACTGAGAAAAGACAATCTGGATTCAGCAGGAGACTGTTGGTAAATTCAGAGAGGAGAGAGGAGGTCCTGTAGAGTTGAGGAGTTGGAAGCTGTTATGTCAGTGACTGAAAAGTGAGTAAGCAGTGAGGCAGTAAAGATAGCAAGAGGAGATCATGTTTTTCTAACAGTCCAGAGGAGAGACAGAAGATTGTAGTTTGAGAGTGGCAGAGTTCATTTCTTTTCCTTTTTTATTGTTTAAAGATGCAGGTTGGGGGAACCTTGTAGGTGGCAAGGAAGGAATCAGTAAAAAAAGAAAGGTAAGACTGGAGATGAGCATGAAACATTCCTGAAAGAAACAGGAAATGATGGGATCAAGGATAGCAGTTCAAGAGTCATCTTTTTCTCAGATACTAGAGAAGAAAAGGTGAAAATGTAGAGGGTAGCAGTGGAACCATGACGTAGAAGAGATGAGGGAAACTCAATGCAGATGGTCTTGATTCTTTGCTCCCTATTAAAGTGGGAACTAAGGTGATTTGCTCAGACGTGGGAAGGTGCAAGTAGTCAAGTGGGGCAAAAAGAGAAGGTTTTGAAACAGCTACTGTGGGGAATATGAAAGAAAGCCTAAAGGTGATGAGTAAAAGAACAGTCATGTAACAGAAGCACAAAGTTTCAGAGTTGCAAGAAACCTCAGCAATTATCTAATTCTGGCCTGCACAACAGCCTACCAAAGGATTTCAGGGAGTCCTCAGGATGAAGGTTGTGCAGGCCTCATTTGGTTCAACCTACACCTGAAAAAGAACTAATGCAACATACCCAAGTATCTACTGAATCTTTGCTTATAGAGCACTAAGGGGAATCTATCACTTCCCATTCCACTTTTGGATAGTTCTGACATCTGGCTTAAATCTATTTTTTTGTCACCTCTTCCCATTGCATCTAGATCTACCTTTTGGGGCCAAACTGAGCAAGCTGTAAGGATCCAGTGAAATAGATAATAGGAACTTCTAAAAGTAGCCAAAACTTACTCCGGCCCTTATACATAAAGATCTTGCATTAGGTACTCTGTCAGATTTGGGCCAGGCTCTGCTTAAGACCACTAAGTCCCAGTGACATTACATAGAATCAGAATAAGGAAATACCCCAAGGGCCGTGTAATGCATTAGAGAAATTTACATGGAAACACATAAAGCACACATCATGGTGTCTACTTTAATGACTGTGTTTCTATTAATTGTGTGAATAGCCCTCGGCTGACATGACACCTGGAATATAAGGGGGCTGAAAACAGTCTCAGAAGAGAAGAGGACTTCCCCAACCAGGCAGAATCATTTCCATGCAGCCTGCTATAACTGGAAGCCTCAGGCGAGCCTCCACGAGGAAGAGAGGGCCTCATGAAGCCACACACAGCTCTCAGCTCCACGTATCTTTGAACGCCTACAACAACAATAAAAGAGTAATAGTAGACTGTTACGGAAGTGCCAAACCTACACCAGGGGCCCTCAGGCCTAACTGAGATACCCAGATACAACTTCATCTTTCCCTTATAGTGTTACTGATAAAAAGGGAGAACTTAGGGGCTAGAATAACACCACGGAGTTGTCAGGGGGCTAGAGAAGAGAATTCCTTAGAAAACTGAGACCACTGTCTTCAACTATTAGTCAAGGAAAACAAGAAACTCTGCCCTGAAAGCAACAAGTGCAGATATAAAGCTTTTGGAAGAAAAGCTGACCAGGAGGTCAGCTCTCAGGGACCAAGAATGAGCTCCAGGGACATTCAAAACAGAAGACTAGGGTGAAATACATCCTCAATTTGAATACAACATGCAACAGGTTAATATGAACTCTTGAGCTTCAGAAATTTCTGAGAATTGTCTCAACACCAGTTTGTCCAGCATCTCAGCCCTGACTGGTCCCACAGACCCTGGTTATAAGGTCACTACTACTATGCGTATGACCAAGGTAATATCAAGTGCTTGCAAAACTTTCTGCAAATTCCTGACTGGGACAGTTAATGGAATAGTAGTTCCAAAAGAATGGGAGACTAAGAACTCCAGCCGCACACTAGATGCTATTAAGAATAAATGTAGTAGGCAAGCCTTTAGTGCTAATTTATTCTTATGCACATACCGAAAAGTCTTTTTTTCAACATTAAAATTTTTAAATTAAATAATTTTTAAAAATTAAATATTTGTGGAATGAATGAGTAAACTAACACTTTTAAATATACCAACTTTCACTAAACTTTGATATTACCACCAAGTTGCTCTAACAGTTATCACTAGTTATTATTCTATCTAGTTAACTTTCTTGACTAGCTAGACAAAACTATCTAGTAAAGAAGGCCTAAGAAGAATATGGTAGACTAAACTACTTTCTGTCCATTAAATTTAATGGTTTACTTCTGTGTTCTTCCTACAAAAAGTTATAAATATAAATGGCATATTATACACAGTAATATCAATTATGGGTACTTTAAATTTTCCCACTAAGCAAGATAGCCAAATTAGCTCACCAAATGAATGAAAAAATAAAAAACAGAAAAAGAGTCCACATCTAACTATACCATAAACAAGAACTCGGAACAAAAGAAAAAGAGAAAAGTATAGATAAATCAAGTATAAAACCTTTTTTAAAAATCTCAACATGAGAATTACTCTTTTTTCTCTATTAGGAAATTACAATTATGTCACCTTTTTTATCTACCAGTTTAAACCTTAATAACAAACAGTACTTGCAACTTTGGAATTATAACAAAAGTCAATTCCAATGGTTAGCCTAATTTGTTCTGATGTTCAAAGCAAGAAGTAAATCCATAACCAAAATCCAACTATCAAGTCTTAAATAAAATATAAAAGAACTGAGTAAAATCATTTGGTCTTACCCAACAGAAACTATCTATTTGCCAGCAAGTTACACTAGAGCAGAAATAAGGAGTGAAGCCAAAAAAAAAAATAATGTTGCCACCTTCTTTTATTGTTTCTTAAATTTCCAGTTTTATAAATCCATACAAACTTCCACCATCCTTATTGTCCACTCCGTGCACATTGTAAGATGGTCAGTCAGCTGGTCAACAAGCATTTATTAAGCCTACTACGTGCCAGGTACTGAGCTAAGCACTAGAGATACAAAGCAAGGGAAAAATGGTCCCTGCCCGCAAGGAGCTTCAGGTCTGCTGGGGAGACAAAGTGCAAACAACTGTACATTCATGATCTACATAGGATAAAGAAACAGCAACTGCATTCAGGGGGACCAGGAAAGGCTACTTGCAGGAGATAAGACTTGAGTTAACACTTGAAGAAAGTCAGGGAAGCCAAGAGGTGGGGGTAAGATGGAGAGGAGTGATAAAGGATCTACAGAAAAGAGCTGTAGGAACTTGGCCGAGAGGAAGAAAGAATACCCAGAGAAAACAAAACTGTTCATAAAAAACAATTCCCCAAATTAATAACTGATGTGATCATGCCGGCCTCACCTAAAGTGAGATGTAAAAATATGGTACTTACTCACCGAAACAGAATTCTGCCTTTGGCCTGAGCTTAGTTGCATCGCTAACCTAACAAGAAAAACAGAAATGTCACACTGTATCTTTTTGTATTAGCTATGTTAAACTTTAAGCACCATAAACTCACAAACAAATTATTTCCCTACACAACTCTTATTTTTACAGCACGTAAAGGTTTACAAAGTGATTTAAATCATTCAATCTTGACAAAGGCATCACAGATCAATCTAAAGCTCAACTTTGAAGGCAGCAAAAAATAACAATGAAATTTAAATACAATTAATGCAAAGTTAATTAAGGAATTTATTTTAAGTGTAAAGTAACGTGGCAGATGCTAGGTTACATTTCTAAGAATTTTTTTTAATGACATCAATGTTTTGTTAAGACAAACTTGTTTATTTCTCAAAGGAAAACTGAATGGGAGGAATAAAGCAAACTTTACATTAAGCATAAATATTTCGTATTTAGAAGAAAGTTTGAAAATTAGTCCATCGATCACTTCTTGAAACCTATATTTACGACCCTCCTTAGAATCTTCAACCACCTTCATGGCTCAGCCAATAGCCACCTATGCCCCCTACGTCCAGACCCTGCCAAGTGTTTAATGCTCTCTCTCCCTCCTCATGCTAGGTTATGTTTACTCATTTGTAAATATGTTTTATTGCTCAGTAAAATATAAGCTCACTGAAAGCAAGAATGATTTTGTTTTTGTCCCCAGTACCAAACACACAGTAAGCACTCAATAAATGGCTAGAATGAACTGAATTGCTAAAGATTTGTAAAAAAAGAAATCTGACATCTGGGGTCAAAATTTAAAAGAAACTGAGGTTCATCTTAAGTTACCATGAGAAAATGTGAATGGCTAAAATGCTGACTGTGGAGTCAGGAGATACCTAGGTTTGAGACTGACACTTACTAGCTGTGAAACCATTGATTAAGTCATTTGCTCTCTCTGAGCCTGTTTCTCCATATAGAAAATCAGAATATCTGTAACTAATCACTTCACCCATTAGAAAGCAAACTGTAATTCTTAAAGTGCTACTTTTTGTGGTAGGGAAAAAAAATAAAGTAGATGTCCACCAACTGGGGAATGTCTAAACAAGTCATGGTAGACATGAATACAGTACTGGATGAGAAGAAATAATAAATGAATTCAAAGACCTTGTAACAAATACACAGTCAAGCAAAACAAACTCCCACTCTGATAACGTCTAAAAAATATGTCTCAATCTGCACCTCTCTGTAAGGGGAAGGACAGACTGTTTTAATCATAAGTCCTCTAGAATTGTGGCACTGCGTTAATCAGTTACACCTTTTAAAGTTATCTCTCCCTACAATGCTGTTGTTATTGTACATATTGTTCTAGTTCTAATCACTTCAATTTGTATTAGTTCATACAAGTCTTTCCAGGTTGCTCTAAAACCATCCCCTTCATCACTTCTTACAACACAATACTTCATCACATTAATATACTGTAACTTCTTCAGCCACTCCTTAATTGACAGGAACTCCCTTAGTTTCTAGTTCTTTGCCACCATTAAAGAGTTGTTATAAACAGATCTGTACACATGGGAACATTTTTCTCTTTCTTTGAACTCTTTGGGCAAAGGTTTGCACGGTTTGGTTGCTTTTTGGACATGGTTCCAAACTGCCCAGCAGAATGGCAAGCCAGATCACAGCTCCACCAATGCTGTATTAATGTACCTGTTTTCTCAAAGACCCTCCAGCACTTGCTATTTTCCTTTTTTGTCAAATCTGCCAATATGACTGGAGTAAGATAGAACCTAAGAGGTTTTAATTGGCATTTCTCTAACTATTAGTGATTTGGATCATTTTTTTTTTCAAATGGCTACTATTAACTGAAATTCCTTCCTCTAAAAACTGCTGTTCATATTATTTGCTTATTTGTCAGTTGGGAAATGGCTCTAATTCTTATAAATTTGAATACATTCTCTACATATCTTGGAAGTTAAACTTTCATCAGAGAAATCCACTGCAAAGATTTTTTTCCCCAGTTACCTGCTTCTCTTCTAATTTTGGTTGCACTGATTTTGTTTGTGCAAATACTTATTAATTTCATATAATCCAATTTGTTCATTTTATCTTCTGTGGTCTTCTCTATCACGTGTTTGGTGATGAACTCTTACCCTATCTAGAGATCTGACAGGTAATTTCTTCCTTGTTTGCTTCTCTAATTTATGATGTCATCATTTATGTCTAAGTTATGTACCCATGTGGAACCTGTCTTGGTATTCAGTGTGTTATATTGGTCTATACTTAGTTTCTGCCAGACTACTTTCAAGTTTCCCCAGTTTCTGTCAAATAATGAGTTCTTACTCCGTAGCTGGGCTCTTTGGATCTAACAAATAACAGGCTATTTGGGCTCCTTTGCTTCTCTATATGTCTAGTACATCTAATCTGTTCCAATGGTCAACATCTTTGTTTCTTAACCAGTACCAAATCATTTAATGACTGCTGCTTTGTTGTAGAGTTAGAGATTAGAGCTAGAGATCTGATAATGCTAGGTCCCAATCCTTCCTGCTTTTTTCCCCCATCATTTCCCTTGAGATTGGCATTGTCTTCTTCCAAATCAATTTTGTTAGTATTTTTCTAAGTCTATAAAGTAATTCTTTTATAGTCTGGTATATAACACTGAATAAGAAAACTATTTTAGGGAGTATGGCCTTTTTTTATTATAATAGTGCAAGCCTTACGTAAAGAGTATTTTGTGGTTGTATTCATACAGTTCATATAGTTCTATATGTGTCTTCGTAGGCAGACTCCCAAGTATTTTATACCTTCCACAACGACTATAAACGTAATTTCTTTCTATTTCTTTCTGCTGAGTTTTTGATGATAATATACAGAAAGACGAATAATTTCTGTGGGTTTATTTTATATCTTACAACTTCGCTGAAGTTATCGTTTCTAGGGTTCTCTAAAAAAAACTGATAAAAAGTTTTGTTTCCTCTTTGCCTATGTTTATTTTCTCAATTTCTCTTTCTTGTCTCATTACTATAACTAATATTTCTAGCACTGTGAACATTGTTGATTTACTCCTAATTTTATCGGAAAGGCCCCAGTTTATCCTCATTGCAGTTAATGCTGGCTCTTAGTTTCAGATACTAGAGAGGCTGGCTTCAAGGCGTATAGATGAGCCTAGATTCCAACCAGTTCAGCTAACCCTAAATATAATATTACTTCAATGATACCATGCTATATTCTACATGAATGTTTCTGGGGATAGAGCTATATAAATTAAACTCATTCAAACATGCAGGAAAAGGATGATGAGGAGATTCATACCACACACTCATCTTATCTGAACAAGGCAAAATACAAAAATATTATCTTTAAGAAGTCTCACCTTCCAGGAAGGTCACTGAGAGAACAAGGGGAAAACATAATGGACAAAGGCCATGAAAGGGGGACAGATACTAGAATAACCTAGAAAAAGGAAGAAGGAAGAATGGAATATTTCTTAGAATGTGGAGTACCAAAGAGAAGGGTCATTCAAACAGGCTAAGTGATCAGAGGGCTGAGCAGTCTCCTGAATTACATTCTTGTCTGAGCAGAGGAAATAGGGGGAAGGGAGGGAAGAAAAAAGAAAACATAATAAAAAGTAGAAGAAGTAATCTGGGCAGGGTGGGTAAGAGAAAAGATTACAGTCTGAGAAAAGATACTATGATCAGATTGTTGTAAGCAAAACAATCAGAACATAGTACAGATTTATTTTTAAAAGTAACATACCTGAATTAGATAGAAAAAAGTAAAAATTAAACAATTATAATCTCAAATGTTAATGGACTCAATTTGTCCACATTAGAGAACAAAGCATCAGGATGCACTAGAAAAGGAGAAATTAGGAGGAGAAACCAACAATATTCTATATACAACATTCGGACACAAGGAAGTAAAACAAGGAGATTAAAAAAAATTTACTATTCTTCAGTCAACTGTAAGAGTATCAAAGCAATCATGATTTCACACAAGGCAGCTAGGTGGCACAATAGATAGAGCGCTGAGTCTGGAGTGAGGAAGACCTGAGTTCAAATCTGCCCACAGACACTTACCAGCTCTGAGACCCTGGGCAAATCACTTAATCCTGTTTGCCTCAGTTTCCTCATCTCTAAAATAAGCTGGAGAAGCAAATGGCAAACCACTCCACTATCTTTGCCAAGAAAGCCCCCAAATGGGGTCACAAAGAGTGAGACATGACTGAAAAGACTAAATAACAATAACAAAAAACAAGCACCATCAAGAATGAAACAGGAAAACATTATCAATTAATGAAAGACTTTCAATATTAAATACACATGCCCAGAATGGCATTGCATCCAAGTACATAATATAAAATTTTACTGAAAATTTCAAAGACCTCCAGAATAAGCCAAGCACTAAAGGTCACCTAGCCATCTGCCCAGTTGTCATTGCCACTTCCCCGCCCTCCCCTTCCCTCCCCCAGACCAACATCCTCCTCAACAAATTAACAATCTCAAAATAAGAATGAAATATGAAATTTTGAAAATCCAAGGAAAGATAAAACTTGCAAAAAAGACTACTGGGAATATATACCAAATAAAAGACTTTTTTTTAAAAATTAATAAGCCATTAGTTAATGTGAAATTTTTTTAAAAGAGAAAAATTAAAACCAACTGGCAAAATAAAAAAGAGAAGAAGTTTACAATGAATGAAGAGGAAACAAAGGACATTAACAGAAACTGCTATATCTAAATAGCAAAATCTAAGAATGTAAAAAATGAATATTATATAAAATATCAAAATCAACAGCAAAGAAAACAGATGGCAAATAGCCCAATCTCAAAAAAAGAAACTGAACAGGCCAGACATGAACTAAAAAAAGTCACACATTACATAAACTAATAAGGGAATCCTATCAAACAGTGAAAGAGTAATTAAACCCTCTGATACATAAATTGCTGTCAAAATTAGAGAAATAAGATATAGCAAACTCCTTTAATGAGATAAGTACAGCTCTGATATCCAAACCAATTAAGGATAAAGCAGAGAAAGACAATGATAAACTAATATTATTAATATAAAATTTCAATACTACTAGAGTAAAAATTTAAAGCCAAGAGAAGCAGCAGAGGAGAAAACCAGTTTAAAGAAAGCTTGGCATGACATCCAACAAGCAAAATCTTCCCAAAGGGAATTAAAGATGAAAATGGAAAGATAACAAATAGAAGAAAAATGGGCAAGATTTGTAAAAATTATTATAACAAACTGTTTTCAAGAACTGTGAAACTACCATACTTGGCCTCTAACATCACAGTTCCAAAAGTGGTGCTTACAGGGAAAGAAGAATGTCACTGAAGAGAACAAAGATGGGAAAAGCTGCCAGAATGGCCCAAGAATATATAGAGGCGATTTCTGTCTATGCAGGAGGTGACACAACTGTGAGCATTTATTGAGGTGGTGATTTACAATACAACTGAAGGAGGGGAGGGTACCAAAAGAATGGAAAAAATGTTGAACCTTATTAATAGCAAGAAAAGGTGACTACAAGGAAGAATACCAATAGCTACCAATCTACCACATAACAGTGTTAGGAAGGAAAGTCTGCTTTTGTAAACAATCCGAGAAACCATCTTTACCATTTCACAAATGAACTAAAAATGTAGCAAACATAAAATTTCACTCTGGTTACTGTTTGTTGATTATAAAAAAGCATTTCATTCACTAAAACAAAATGCTGCGTTGCAAGATTAAGACAAGGTGACTCTCATCCAAACATCAAAATCATTTAAAATTTCTTTAAAGCCCTAAAAGGAATAACCCTATTCAATGATCCTCTGATCATAACTATCAGATGAAGCATAAAACAAGGACATGCATTCACCACTGATGGAGAAGATCCATTGTAGAGTTCAAGTTGAAAAGAGATTCATTCCTACAGATGGTGAGGTTCATCTAAAGTATCTATTAGCAGATCAAGCTTCAGAACACAGTAAAGTCTCCTAGAAGAGATCGCTAGTCATCCTCTGGATAGTAAAAGACCTAACTATCCACACAACAAAGACAAAATGGACGAAGACCGTATTAAGATGTATTTGAATGGACAACTTATACAGCCTGCCCATCAGTGAATGACAGACAGTACAAATTTTTCATAGGTTCATAGATCTGGAGTTTGAAGGATCTCAGAGGCCATTTTACAGATAAGGAAACTGTATTTTATGAAGAAAATGTGTTCAAGAGGTGCAAGGAGTCATGGGTAGTGAAGTACATGAGATGTGGACCCTCCCCAACCACTCCCCAGGGGTGAACTTATGGGAGGACAAGAGTTACACAAAATTCAGGCATGGATACATTGAGATCTGTCTGTTTGGAGAAAGCTTTCCAAATTGATGAAATCAAATATTCATTTGAGTATTCGTAGAGATTACTGTAATAAAAAGAAAGAGTATTTATTATGACCTAGTGAGATTTACCTCAGGGATGCAAGGATGGATCAATATTAGGAAAATAATTAGCATCATTAATCATATTAAATATATACAAAAAGATGAACAAAGGTTAACAAAATGCAGTAGTCATTTATGTTTAAAAAAACAGTATATAATAATAGAAGAATTTTTCTTTATCACAACCAAAAGCATTTATTTTAAAACACTAACTAGCATCACTTCCAATTAACTAGCAAACACCAGAAGCTTTACCAGTACAACTAAAGGGTAAAACAAGAATGTTTCAGTTGACATAGACAAGAAATGCTAGGTATAAAAATAAGAAAAACAAATTGAGGGAATAGGCATTTATGAAGAAGCAAAATTATCCCTATCTACAGATAATTATCATGTTTTACTTAGAAAACTCAAGAAAAAAACTAATCAAGATAAACCAGTAGTTCTGTCAGGACATATAAGGAATCCATAAGAATTATCAGTATTTTTGCATGTTATCAACAAAAGCTGACAGCAAAAAAATGAGAAATTCCATTTAAAATAACTACAAAAGGCATAAAACATCTGCAACTGATTGTATATGTAGAATAAATAAGATAGAGGAGGCAAGGATGACACCAAGCCAGACAACCTGTGTGACTGGAAAGATAGTGTGATGATGCTCAACTATAACAGAAAGTCCAGAAAAGGACTGTATTCAAAGACATAATGAGTTGTGTTGTGGACATGCTGTGTTTGTCTATAGCACATCCAGTTTGAAATGCTGAAATGAAAGCTATTATGATGATGAGAAGGAGGAATTAGTGCTTAGGATACATAGACCTGGGAGTCATTTGTATAGAGATCAGTGAAGCCACAGAAGCTGATGAGATTATAGAAGGCCCCAGAGAAAGCCCTGGGTAATATATCCAGTTAATAGACATGGCATGGAGGAAGAAACTCTAGCAAAGGAGAAAGGGAACAGGCAGAACGAAAACCAGAGAAAGCAGCGTCAGGAAAACCCAGAGAAGAGAAAGTATCCAGGAGATGAAGGTGGTCAAGAGTGACAAATGCAGGGAAGAGGTTCCATTAGATTTGCAATTAAGAAACCAAACCACTGGTGACTATGGAGAGAGCAGTTCAATTGAATTATCAATGAAGTAAGAAGTCAGACTTGGGACAGTTCAGAAATCTACAGGAAATAGAGACACCTAGTGTAGATGGCTTTTTCAAATTTAGCTGAGAAACAGAAGAAATATAAGACGACAGATAGCAAGTATGGTAGGAAACAAAGTGGGTGCACATGAATTGGAGAATAGCTAAAAAAATACTGGTACACAAACGTAATGAAATATTTTTGCACCAAAGAAACTGATGAAAGCCACTGTTTCAGAAAAACCTTAGAACACTTGTATAAAGTGAAGCAATATGAAGTGAACAGAACTAGAAGAATGATTTCTACAGATATTATAATAATGATAAGTAAGACAACTTTGAAAGAGTTAAGATTCATCAGAAAGAATCTGATTCATGTAATGATCAATCATGATCTCAGGAAACTGATAAGGAAGCATACCTTTTGGCAGAGATGTGATGGTCTAAAGGTACAGAATGAGATCTTATACCGTCAGACACAGCCAACGTGTGAACAACTGTTTTACTTGACTATCCTTATTTGTTACAAGGAAGGGCTTTTATTGGTTGAGGGTTGGACTTATGGACAAGGGATGGGTGGATAGTGATAGAAAAAAACAGAACATCAATCAAACATTTTAAAAAACACAGAAGAGAGTAGAAGGAAGTTTAGAAGGGGACAGAGACAAGCAGGATAATTTTGTAACTGTGTTAAATTGAATACACTTAAAAAACAATAATTAAAAGTTCACAGCTTCACATTCAATCACCTTTCTGTTATTCTTTGTACATTCAAATATTCCTTGATATTTAAATTGATAATAAAAAAATGTAAAATTAAAAAGCTGCCCGGTGAATTTCAAAGGACCATAGCTCACACACACCTCTTTTGCTGTGTTAAGCTGCTAACTTGTTTTCTTTTATTTCCCTCCTTTCTATCTTTCTCCCTAATGTTCCATTCTTGAAGTAACTCTCTACTAAGGAGATATGTATGTATGTATGTATATATGCATACAGATATATATAAATATATAAACAAAACCTCTCATTTAAAAATATATAAGACTAGGGTCCCTTGAACTCTCAGTCATAGTTCCTAAAACATAGTGGAAATAAATAGGATTGCATTCACCTTGGTAATAATAAATCTAGTTTTAAAAAATTAAAATGGTAATATAAGAAATTAAAATGAAAAAACAGAAGGAAAAATGTAAAGGAGTAATAAAGTAGGGCAAAACTATCTTTTATAACATAAAAAGGGTCTATGTTTTCACCAAAGTAATGTTTTCACAACATAATTTCAAAAGGTCATAGCCACCTAATGATAGGAATAATTTTAAAACCCATAACCATAAACTCAAAGAAATCTTTACTATAAAGCATGACAATAGGAAACAACTAAGTTGTTTTTCCTTGATACTTCTGCATGAGACTCACAAAAATGACAATTTTTATATCTGTCCCACCCACCATGAAATAATTTCATTTTGTCCCATAAATCTCTAATTATATTGATATTAATAACTTCCCAACCATAATCAGGCTCTGCTTTCAGTAGGACCTGAATTCTCTTAGTAAGCCTTAGAGCCTTATTATTATTGTCAATACTGTGAAATAAAAACATAGTGGTTCCTTTTATTTATTGGACTAGATAAGATATGTGTGAAAATAAATACCTTTGAAATGTAGGTGAGTTTAATAGCTCCAACAGGTGGGGATCCAGAAGGAAGGTTCTAGGGGACAAAAAGGATTATGATTAATATCAAATATTACATATATTAAAATCTTCATGCTACTATTCCACATTTATACTCTTAATTATGAGGAATTTAAGATTGAGCACTTTCTAGATACAATAGCACTTCAAATGTTTTCTTATTAAGCTCTAAAGATTATCACTCCATTATTATAAGAGGAACCCTACACAATTCTAACAAAAAGTGCTCTACAAGACATCATTGAATATTTTTTATCTTTAAGTTAGTCTTTTCTTAAATAACCCAAAAGCTGAAATATTTCTTCTGCAGCACTAATTAATCACCAAGTTGCATAATTATAAATAATGCAATATGCTGGTCCTAAATGCAATGAGCAGAAAAAAATTATAAACATACATGTCAAAATGTCGCTGACAAAAATGGAAACAGTCTGTTAATATTCTTTTGTGAGAACAAACATAAATTTAGGGTTTGAAAAATCTATTTTTGTTTTTGTTTGAACGGTACAGTGTTATTTAAAAAAATAACCAGTGATACCAATTTTTAGCCAATAAATTGTGATTCATGCTATAAAGACAAGATTCAGAGCTCTATGATTCAATTTACCTCAAGTCAACATAAAAAAAAATTGTAAGTACTAGGTGTTATGGGGAATTCAACAATATGTAAACAGTCTCTACAGACTTACAGATCTAACCAGGGAGATAAGAAAAATTTCAAAATAACCATACAAGTCAATATAACATGCCATGAGAGAGCTTAAAAAGGCCTATGGTCACTAAGAAAAAAGAAAAAACATATTCATGGGGAAGAGGGATGAGAATAAGGAAAGGATTCATGAAGAATATTGCATCTGAGTAGGGAAAGGCATTCCAAGCACATGAATAAACATGAATGATGCTTCCTTGAAGGTGGAAAATCTAAAGGTCATTAATTTGAAAAATAATCACTAATCCAATTCAAAGCAAGGGAGTAAAGAAAGAAAGCAACTGACTGATCCCTTCATACTCAACCTGTTGCTATTCTTTTTTCCTGAATGTTCTCAAATTTCAAACCTTAAACTTGAGTGACTATAAATTTTATCCTGATAAAGAGTATTTTACACAGCTTTTTCATACTTTCTATATAGCTTCCTGAACAGTGAGCTTCTGATTAAATTTGGCTCAAATGTCTAATTACTGCTTTCATTTCATTATGTATAGATAGATCGATCAATAGATAGATAGTAACTACTTTTAGAATAAAAGAGGCCTTTAATTCTTCCTTACAATACTCTACACACTTCTCAAGAGATATCCACCACCCCTGACTTGATCAGTATTCTAACTTGAGAACTTAATGAGCTTGACATTAAAGATCATAAGCCCTACTAAACTTCATTTGTTTCTATTCATTCAGCAAATGTTTACTAAAAGCCTATTATGCTCAAGGTAGAAAAAGAAGCAAACTTAACATTTTAACTAACAATGAAGAAAGAATAAACATTTTCGAGCAACAGAAATTACATGATTAGACTTAAATTTTATAAATATCAATACGGCATTATGAAATAGGAATTAAAAACATGCTTCCTGATCTCACAGTGCTCATTTTCTAGTAAGGGAGATAAGACATATTATAATACAAAGCAGAATACATTAAGAGCTAAAATGATGGTATAAAGTGCTATATGTTACAGAAAAGGGATCACTTCTGGGTGGTGGTAATGAGAGTGACATTTGAACTAGAGGTTCATTACTGAGGTGACATCTGAACCAGACCTAGGAAGACAGGAAGAATGTAGAAGGAAGAACCTCTTGGGGAATGTTTTAATAATGACAGTTTCTCAGTATGGCAGGCACAAAGGATCAATGAAGGAAAAGCAGAGGACAATCAGTCTGAAAAGGTGAGCTATTGCTGAATTCTGGCAGAATTTAAAAGTCAACAGAGGTATTCTGGCCTTTATTCCACAGACTATGAGGAACCAGTGAGGAGTCACAAGGAGTAATGTGATTGATCCATGATCTAGAAAAAACAAATAATCTGGCAATAGAGTACAGGATAAATCAGAGAAAGAAACAAAAGGCAGGCATACTAGTCAAGAAGATAGTGATTTAATTCCCACAGGTGACTAGAAAAATGGTGATGCCATTAACAGGATGGGGACTAGCATGAGATGAATCTGGTTTTAGACATGTTAATTTTGAGCAGCCAAGGCAACATCAAATGAAAAAACTGTAAAGAGCTTTGTAAGATATACTGTTTACAGAATATCAGCTATTATTACTTCTCAAACATATATTTATTCATCTGAGAGAATACTATTTTTATTTCTTACCCTGCCTATTTTTATCGTAGCTTTCATTCCTATTATCATTTTTATTTTATTCCCTTTAAATATATGATTTATTATGTCTCAAGGTCAAAGATTTTTATCTTGTTCCTCCCACCCATCCTCTCTGCCTTTCATTCCCAGAATACTTAACTAAAATATTAAAAAGTCTGAGCTCAAACTACAAGCAAAATGATCTTTCCAAATGTTGGTTGCTTTTCAATACCAAAATGTTTAGCTTTTAAATCTCTCACAGGCTATTATTCTAACACACTGAATAGCGCCCTAAGCTTTTATGTGTGAGAAGGAAATGAAAAACCACAGAATGCCATGAAGGATCACAGATTAAAATAGCCAAGTTGCATAGGGAAAACGTAAGCTGCTAAGATACAAAGGAAATGCAAAAAAAAAAAAGACACCTAGTTTTTATGACCATTATAGTTACTGTTAAGTTCAAATGCAAAGATTTCTGTTTAAAACTGACGATAGAGAAGAAAAGAATGAGCTGGTATACCAAAACAAATAGCAAGTTTCCACCACATTTTATCAAAATTATATTTTTCAAATCCCTTCATTTTCACATTCAGCCAAAAGTATAAATCTTTCCAACTGTCACTAAATGCTGATGAAGTCATAAATGTTAGCAAAATCCTGGAACAGATTATTAAATAAATGAAAGCAATGATCACTAGGAGACGGTATGGATTTAAGAAAAAGTTAGGCCAAACTAAATTAATTTATTCTGATACATTAAAGGAACACCATTAACAGTGTATAACTGCTTTCAGCAAGACACCTAATAAAGTTTCTCATAATATACTTACAGACAAGAAGCAAAAATGTTGCTCAGATAAAAGTATAGCTCTTAGCCAATTGAAAACTATGCCCAAAGAATGTCACTTATTATATCAATTTCAACCCAAAAGGAAAATCTCTAGTGTTATATTCATAAGAACTCTATGCTTAGATTTGTCCTTTTCAAAGTTTTTATCAATGACTGAGATGAAGACATTGAAGGCATATGTACTAAACCTTCAAACAACAAAATTTTACAGAGAGTAAGCTTCCTGTCAGGGACTGTTGTGTTTCTTTTTATATCCCCAATACCTAGCAGGACATTGCACATGGTAAGCACTTTAAAAACATTTATTGAACTACATGAACTGAACTACTGAATGACAGAAGATTCAGCTTTTGAAAGAGCAGACCTACAGGCTGAAATAAAGTAAAATTTAACAGGGATAAATTTAAGTTACGTATTTTGATTCAAGAAATCAAGAACACAAACATGATTAGAGGAAACTGACTTAACAGTAGCTAACTGCAATACGAGCCAAAAGCGTGATATGGCTGCCTTCAAATCTTAGGCTATACATACTTCCTACAGAAACAGAGTTCAGAAAAAGGAAACTAATAGTTGACTGCAATTCTATATCAATCTAAAACCATATGTCATATTACATTAAGTTCTGGACACCAAATGTTAAGAAGAGCACTGAGAACAAAAACATATCAGCAAGAGGCAGGAAGGGCTGGAGATCACGCTGTAAGAAGCTGAAGTGATTGGGGAGATTTAGTCTGGAAAACAAAAGACTTGGTCTTCAAATGCCTTAAAGGCCATACCCTGAAAACGACTATCCCTACTCTTAGCAGTGCCTCGGGACAGAACAAAGAATGGCAGTAGGAAGCTACAGAGGTAGGTTTCTAACAATCAGAGTCAAAGTCATCCACAAACTAGAGCATTCCTATTGCTGGAAGTGTCCTTTTCTGAAAGAACAATCTTGGAAGAAAAATAGTAGAAGGAGAAACAGTAGAAGAAAAAGCCCTTTTTAAAAAGAGCCTTGAAAGACCTGGGCTGTACCACTCTATTAGCCTCCTGACCATGACCTGGAAGGCTGACACCAGACAAGTCTCCTGAGCCTGAGTCTCCTCATCTCTGAAGTGAGGACGCTGGAGTAGTATCTCTTCCAACCTAAAATTCTATATCAAGCGTTTAACTTACAGATTAATATTATGAAATTTACCTGAATGATTTGAATGTCAGTAAACTTTAACCTTTAAATGATGCAATGTGCTCTGTAACTGTAATAACCAAGCTTGGATCTATAGAGTTGAAAAAATATACCTTCCTTCTTCCTTCACTGCAGAAGTTGGGGTAACAGGTGTGGAATACTGAATACACTATTGGACAGGGGTAATATGTTGGTTGTTTTTGCTAAATTCCCCCTCCCCTTTCTTTTGTAAGTGTTTGTCAAAAGGAAGTATTTGCTTGCTAAGGGAAGATAAGAGTAATATGGGGCAACTAGGTGGTACAGACCACTGGCCCTGGATTCAGGAGGACCTAAGTTCAAATTCAGCCTCAGATACATAACACTTACTAGCTGTGTGACCCTGGGAAAGTCACTCAACCCTACTGCCTAGCAAAAAAAAAAAAAAGATAAGAGGAATATAATCAGAAATGAATATAATAAAAAAGTAAAAGGCATCAACAAAAATATTTAACATTAATGACTTATTACAATAAAGATACAAATCTCATATGAGAATGTGAAAGGGCAAGCTCATAAGTATTATGATATAAGTGGTTGATCTGTGAATAGATCACAACCATTTTATAAGGTCACTACAAATTTTAGAACATGCTTGAAAAACAGTAGTACCATCTAAAAGACAAAAAGTCTTAAATAGTTATCCTTGCATTTAATCATCTCCTGATTCTGAAACAAAGTATTAATGCAAAGAAGGCAAATGAAGGCAAGGAACTTGTAGAGCACAGTGGACAGAGCACATGATATGGATCAGGAAGACTAGAGTCTGATTCCTACCTCAGATACTTACTTGCTACATGACAAACTCTAAACCTCAATTTCCTCGTCTAGAACATAAAGATAATAGTAGCACCTACCTCACAGAGTATTTTGTGAGAATCGAGTGAAATAATATATGTAAAAGTGCTTTGCAAACCTTAAGGTGCCATATAAAAGTTAGCTATTATTTATTATAGCTATGATACCCAGCAAGACATTAAATACTTCATAGTTCCGTAATTTCAGCAGAGAAAGCACCCCATGCACTGTCACATCTCACAACCTTTTTAATGACTTCATGGGCAGACCTTTCGTGAATTTCTATAGCCAAAAATTCTATAACTCATCAGCTACACTGGTGAAGAGACTCTGAATTTCACCAAGCCAGGCCTCATGACAGATACACAATCTGTCCCAAGACCCAGAAAAGTGTTCACAGTTTTGGATAAGCCACCAGAGCCTGCGCCCCCTCAGCACAGCCTTCCATAACCTAGGGTCACAATCATGTCACAACAATGATAATGTGGCAGTAGGGAGAATTAATGGACACATATGGCATTAGTCTGAGGGTTTTAATGCTTATCTGCAAATTGCTTTAAAAGATTCTCCTTTGAACTTTACAAACCTGTGGATTATCCATGTACCAGACCAGACTATCTTCTTGGTATCCAGGATGAAGTACCTCCGCAGAAATTTCCCACTATTCTCATTTTCTTCAATGTCTAGGAAACCACAAATTCGATTCTGACGATCCACATAAGGCATTTCTGAGCTTGAACATTACACTGAAAAATAAAACCAGGAATTAGCTTCCTATAAAATGCCAGAAATAAAACTATTAAAATTTTTCCTCAGTGGACTCAGAAACATGTTGCAGGAACTATTTAACAGACGAATGTTCAATGTACTTGAAAACACAGAACTCTAGAACATTTGAGGTGTGGACCACAGCTCCAGTTCTATGGATTACATTTTCTGTGACTGACTGGATTATTCAAATCTATCCTCCCATGGGAAGAGAACAAAAATGAATTTTTCCCATAGTGATAAAATACTAAACAGTTTAGATCAGGGGTGGAAAGTCTGCGGCCTCAAGGCCACATGTGGCCTTCTAGGTCTAGGTCCTTGGGTGCAGCCTTTTGAGTGAGTCCAAATTTTATAAAATAAATCTTATTATTAAGGGGATTTGTTCTGTGAAGTTTGAATCCAGTCAAAGGGCTGCACTTCAGGACCCAGAGGGCCACATGTGACTTTGAGGTCACAGATTCCCCAACCCGGGTTTAGATGATTCTTTTCAGGGCTAACCAACATAGCCTTAAAGAAGTCATCCATGTCGTATGATGTTATATTAAACATTACAGACAGAGTTCTCTAGACATATGAGAGAGGTAATGTGGCAGTTGAGATAGAAAGTGGACTGTGCAGTCCCAGAGACTCAAGTTCAAGTCCCTCTTTTTGACTGATACTCAACATCTGGCATACAGTAGGCACTTAAATGTTTATTGACTGTGTGGCCTTAGAAAAGTCTTAGTGCCCCATGACAACTCCCTAAGACCATACATTGAAGAAAAGTTTGGACAACCACACATATGGACTGACCAGGATTCAAGAGGCCAGTCTCTGCCACTAAATACTTTGATGACCTTGAGCAAGTCCCAATCTTTCCTGTGCTAAATGTCATCCTCTATAATGAGTGTTGGACTAGATGGTTTGTTTCTCAGGTCCATTTTCTGCAATGAATCCTATGATGCCATGATTCATGTAACATCCTAAATATTACCATGCGTGAGTGCTGTTTACGTAACCAAGAGACTGTATGCTAGAGTAGACAAGACATTAAGTGAGGACACAGAACCCAGGCAGTGGGACTCTGGGAAAGACATGTAAGCTTCCAGAGGCCCAGGTACCTCACTAAGAATGGGTCACTGAACAGGTACCGATCTGCATGGGACAAGGAAGTATTCTATGAAATCACAAGTCCAATTTTTTTTAAGTATGTGAAAACTATAAGCGAATACATAAAAACAAGGTGGCATCTGACCTTCTATTCAAAACGAGACTGAACTCGAAAATCTGGTCTACAAATGAACCAGCTGAGATATAGAAACATCTTTAACAGAGTTCATGAGGACTCCAAGAAAATCAGGGAGGCAATTTTTTAGCTCTAATCTAATTAGCTTGTATCTATCTAATTTATTTGACTTCCAATAAAATATGTAAGTTGCATAGAAATAGTTTCTAACATTATGAAACCACTAGCAAGAGGTATGTCAATTGGAAAATGAGAAAAAAACAGTCTCTTTTGAAGTGAATTATAAAATATTTTATGGATCAAAGTGAGAGGCAAAATGATAGGTCTCTCTATAAAAGGCACAACTTCTAATAGAGAGAAAACTATATTTGACATCACAAAATGCTTTGAATGGCCCTCAAGAGTCATTCTATTAGAATGCAAGCTCTGTAAGGTTAAAAAAAATTCTTCTCTACATTCTAGAACTTGCCTTGCAAATTATGGATGCTTTAACATTAATACTTTACCTGGGGGGGGGGAGCCAAGAGGGCAGAGTGAAAGCAGTGACTTGCTTAAACTCTCCTCCAACCCCCCCCCAAATACCTGTAAAAAATTGGCTTTAAACAAATTCTAAAGCAGCAGAACCCACAAAAAGACAGATTAAAGCAAATTTCCAGCCCAAGACAGTCTGGATGGTTGATCAGAAAGGTGTATCGCGCTGGGCTGGAAGAGGAACAGTTCGGCCTGGGCACACAGGCCACAGCGAACCTGGAGCAGGCCTCAGAGGACTGAATCGCAAGCTGCTGTGGCGGATTCAACCCAGGAACGCCAAAGACAACTTAGAAGGTCAGTGGGAAAAGTCTGTTTCTGTGGTGAGAGAGTAGCTCAGTCCCAGCCTCAGTTCTTGAGTGAGCATGCCCCTGGGGCAGTGGCTGTGTCCTGAGCTTCCGGCCCAAACACTAAGGGGGGGGGGGAGGCAGCTAGGTGGCGCAGTGGATAGAGCACCGGCCCTGAAGTCAGGAGTACCTGAGTTCAAATCCGGCCTCAGACCAAACACTTGACACTTACTAGCTGTGTGACCCTGGGTAAGTCACTTAACCCCAACTGCCTAAAAAACAAACAAACAAACAAAAACCAAAGACTGAGGGGGAGTCCTGTGGCTGATCAGAGGGGGGGTTGGAGGGATCTCTTTGCTGATGCTGAGGCAGGAATCTCTTGCTTTACCTGTGCTTAGATCTAGGTCACAGTTCTGGGTAGCAATCCTGGGGCGAAGAGGAGCACTGGCATGGTGGCGTCTGTAGTGGCTGGGAAGAGGAAATTCTCCTCACAGTTCCAAGACAGAAAAGACTGCTTGTGGTCACTCATAGACCACAGCACAGGCCAGGAAAGAAGTAAACACCCTTTTCGCCCTTTATCATACCACCCTGGAAGAACTGAAAATTTACAGGTCCCTACAAGTATCTCTGAAAACAGCTGCACAAAACCTCTGAAGCTTGGGACAATACATTCTTCACACTGGAAGCAGACTGTTACCTTAACAAAGAGTTTAAAATTCAAGGAACTGGCTGGGATCATGAGCAAACCTAGCAAAAAGAGTCAGACTATATTATCTTACTTTGGTGACAAAAAAATATCAAAAGAAACAACCAGAAAAAGACAACAAAGTCAAAGCTCCTACATCCAAAGCCTCCAAGAAAAATATGAATCAGTCCCAGGCCTTAAAAGAGTTCAAAAGGAATTTTGAAAAGCAAGTAAGGGAAGTAGAGGAAAAACTGGGAAGAGAAATGAGAGTGATGCAAGGAAATCATAAAAAACAAATCAACAGCTTGCTAAAGGAGACCCAAAAAAATACTGAAGAAAATAACACCTTAAAAAATAGCCTAACCCAAATGGCAAAAAAGGTCCAAAAAGCCAATGAGGAGAAGAATGCCCTAAAAAGCTAAATTGGCCAAATGAAAAAGGAAGTCCAAAAGATTACTGAAGAAAATACTTCCTTAAAAATTAGAATAGAGTGATTGGAAGCTAGTGACTTTATGAGAAATCAAGACATTGTAAAACAAATCCAAAAGAATGAAAAATTAGACAACAATGTGAAACATCTCATTGGAAAAACAACTGACCTGTAAAACAGATCCAGGAGAGAGAACTTAAAAATTATTGGACTATCTGAAAGCCATGATCAAAAAAAGAGCCTAGACATCATCTTTCAAGAAATTATCAAGGAAAACTGCCCTGATATATTAGAACCAGAGGGCAAAATAGAAATTGAAAGAATCCACAGATCTCCTCCTGAAAGAGATCCCCAAAGGAAAACTCCTAGGAATATTATAGCCAAATTCCAGAGTTCCCAGGTCAAGGAGAAAATATTACAAGCTGCCAGAAAGAAACAATTCAAGTACTGTGGAAACACAATCAGGATAACACAAGATTTAGCAGCTTCTACATTAAAGGACCACAGGGCATGGAATATAATATTCCAGAGGGCAAAGGAGATAGGATTACAACCAAGAATCACCTACCCAGCAAAACTGAGTATAATCCTTCAGGGGAAAAAATGGTCATTCAGTGAAATAGAGGACTTTCAAGCATTCTTGATGAAAAGACCAGAGCTGAATAGAAAATTTGACTTTCAAATACAGACTCAAGTGGAACATGAAGAGGAAAACAGGAAAGAGAAATCATAAGAGACTTATTAAGATTGAACTGTTTACATTCCTGCATGGAAAGATGATATTTATAACTCATGAGACCTTTGTCAGTATTAGGGTAGTTGGAGGAAAAAATTATATGTATGTATAGATAGAGATAGAGGGCACAGGGTGAGTTGAAGATTAAGGGGTCATATCTGGAGAATAAAATTAAGGGATGAGAGAGGATTATACTAGGAGAAGAAGAAAGGGAGAGGTAGAATGGGGTAAATTATCTCACAAAAAAAACAGAAAAGAAAAGGCTCTTACAGTGGAGGGGAAATGGGGAAGGTGAGAGGGAATGAGTGAATCTTATTCTCATAGGATTTGGCTTAAGGAGGGAATAACATACACATTCAATTGGGTATGGAAATCTGTCTTACCCTACAGGAAAATAGGGGGAGAAGGGGACAAGAGAGCAGGGGGATGATAGAGAGGAGGGCAGATTGGGAAAGGGGAATCAGAAGCAAATACTTCTGAGGAGGGACAGGGTCAAAAGAAAGAATAGAATAAATGGGAGGGCAGGATAGGATTAAGGGAAATAGAGTTAGTTTTTCACAACATGTCTACTATGGAAGTGTTTTGCATAACTGCACATGTATAACCTATATTGAGTTGCTTGCCTTTTCAATGAGGGTGGGTGGGGAGGGAGGAAGGGAGAAAATTTGGAACCCAAAGTTTTAAAAACATGTTTAAAAAAAATGTTTTCACATGCAACTGGGAAATAAGAAATACAGGAAATGGGGTACAGAAATCTATCCTGCCCTACAGGAAAACAGAAGGGGAAGGGATAAGAGGGGGGGAGAAGAAAAGGCAGACTAGGGGAAGGGGTATTCAGAATGCATGCCATTTTGGGGTGGGGATGAGGGGCAAGATGGGGTCAAAATTTGGAACTCAAAATCTTGTGGAAGTAAATGTTGAAAACTAAAAATAAATGAATTTATATTAAAAAAATACCTTATGAGATGAAGCCTGTGGCAATCCTATAGGAAGACTGCAAAGCTGCGAGGAACTATAACAGAGTACTGACCAGTTCTGAGGGCAGGGAAGAAATCTTCATGGTAGGCAAAAATTAAAACAATTAAAA